ATACATTTTAATGCTGGCCCAACTACACATAATGTACAATGTATGTACATGTATTTACTCCATACATATCATATACATACCCTGTACATGGTTATGTGCATGTAGAAAATTCATTTCACAATTATAAATGTTTTGGCTAATGGTGAAACTACTAGTACATACATGTATATACATGTATGTACAATTTTTTATGCAGCTTGTAGTTGAAATGAACATACCCCAATACATGTACCAATTAAAATGCTACGGAATTACGACACAAAAGTTTCTCCAGCCTACATCAACTTTTTTGCCAAAGATTGAAAATTTCATTTCTCATTTCTGATATATTTTTATACACCTGTGACACTGAAATGACACTAGAAAAAACGTGACCAACCATATACAGAGCCTTCAACCCGACCCAGTTTTCAGGGATTGAACCAGACTGTAGTTTAACCGACCGACCTTGAGGTGACCGGGACTTGCCATCAATCAAGAACTGATATATGTGATATATATACACCATAATCCTTGTGAATCTCGTGCAAAAAAAAAAATCCGCAGCCTATCAGTCTCCAAGCCACAGAGCTTTTCCAAGAAATGATGCAAAAGTTCACCAACCATGAAGTCGTTGACACTCTCTGGATGTCAAAAGGTAACAAAGAGGATTTGGTTGCACAATTCCATCTGTCTGGAGGATTCCAGTAGGATGTTTCCCCCAAAATAGGTCCTTGTTTACATCTTCGCCTGTTTCCTGTTGTGATGTCAGGACCGGTATTCATTGACTGTTGGAGCAGTTTTACAAGAGCGCCTTCCTGTCTTGGGTTTCAACCAAGGGGAACTTTGGTTTTGTTTGAATCTTTTAACTCCAGGCAACTGGAGAGATACATGTAGCCTATTAGTTTGGGAAATCCATTTTTAAGCAACTTTTTATTTGAAAGTTTTCTTAATAACAAAAAAGTCAAGGACTTAAGTTCGTCTTCAGAAAGGAAACCTATCAAAATGTGCACCGAGTGTATTGGCATTGCTAAGAGGAATTCTATCAGGATAAAAATGACAACATCATCCAGTACAATATTTAATTTGATTAATATTATCAATACTGGTGACTCACTTTGAGATTAAAAATAAACACATAAGCTTTTAAATAAAGGAGTTTGGATTTGAGACAGAGAGTCTCATCAACTGTACTTGAATTTTGAAACGGGTTTTGACTTTTAAAGATTTATTCAGACAAGTACAAAAATGAGCCATTTGGTTTTGGCACAGTACTGGATTTTGGAGAACCAGGAAAAGTTACAGTAATAATGAATATGAATGGCATTATTGTGTTGGGTTTGCAGTCATAATTATTATGTTTACTGTTTGTTTTAGCTGTGGTTGGAATTATGAGCAAGGAGTGATCACCCTTAAGGGGCGGGGCAATATAGAATTCTGGAGGGGTAGCCTCTATCCTTACCAATTCTTACTACTGTTCTTGCTAGGATACCAATTAAGATGTTGACTTGTTTATGAGCTACTGCTTTTTACTGGTTCAAGGTTCCCGCACAATGCAATGTTTACGATTTAGGGGTTAGGCTCCACTAACCAGTTGCATTATTGTGGTCACTCCCTCTAATATCCCCTGTCAGGGATGGTGATAATGACCCAGGGGGTCTGCGGTCAAGTTATACTGACCACCAGCCATCCCATGGACCAGGACATCTTTCATCAGGAATAAAAGGGCCTGGAATGGGCCCGATAAGTGGGGCCAATGATGGTGCTCACACAAGGCAGGGCATTGTCATCTGTGTTCTACTGAATTTGGATCAGCAGATTTGATAAACAGTTGTTAAGACTGTCAACAAATAACAGCACTTGGAAATGTATCCAGCCACCTGCACTTGTATAAAAGAATGGGGCAGATTCTAGAGATGAATACATCAGAGTAAAAGGTGACACAAGATCTCCGTATAAATCAGAGTTTCAATCCTTTTATTATAATTAAACATAACTGGACTCCAATGTTACTTTATTGGTACAGGAGCCCACATATGTACATGTGCGTGTAATGTTTCACTCCCATATATAATTTTCACACATATGAAGTATTATATTGCATCTTAATGCTAGTGGGCCCATTTAGTAGTACACTGAACAAACGATTAAGTTTCCATAATGAACCGGCTAATGCAATGTTGGTGGATATTTTCCAAATTCCCACCAGATTGCCGAACATGTTTCCATTATGCCATGCAGCAAGAGCAAGGATAAAGGAGGGATATACAGTCCTTGGAACCTTACAGAATACCTTGTTATAATAGTTACCGGTACCTCGTGTTATCAGTTATGGAAACCAAAGAAAAACAAAGACTTGGAACCTAAAATTGTCCTTGTGTGATAAATATGACCTTGTATTAAAACCCTCAGAGCCCCAACGCCAAAAAAAGAGGGACCTTTTCTCCACGTGGAACAAACCATCACCACATCATTTCTCGGAGTTCGTGGTCATGCCAATGCATTACTCAGGTCTCCTCTCTAACTACATTTCATTACGCTGCTGTGGAAACTTGGACATTTGTAGCCGAGCCTCCAAAATAACTTCGAGCAGCGAGGTTGATGTTTTTTACTACCAGGTCATTTCAGGGAGATACTGATCTTTCACAAATTCTTACTCTACAGTGGTTAGGGTCTGGCCAATGGGAATCTACAGGCTCATGGTGTATGCCTGGGGTGAAAGAGGACTACCTGAAGTCTTTGCCAAATTGGCCCGTTGGAAAATAGTTCTGACCATGTTAGGTAATATGTGGATACTCTCATCACCGGGTAGGGTTGGTTGTCATCAGTGTTCTTCTTATTTGTGTTTGACCGTATACAGTGTAGATGTATACCAGTTATTTTAAGTTAACGCAGTAAGGAATTCCACATGCCAATTTCTTGTTCTGATGAAACAAAAGAGGAAAAATGAACTAAGAGGCCTGGGGTTCACTTCCATGTAAAATTCCCAGCAGAATTGTTAGCAAGGGGCTTAGATGTGTCTATGGAAATGTAAATGCATACCAAAGGTACATGTACCTGGTACATATATAGGAACAGCGTTCCCAGTGTCCAAATAATTCCAGCCCCCTTTTGTCAGTGGGTTTTAAAAATGAGACGTTGTCATCACGTCTCTCTCCTCACAAATCAGCATTCTCTGGGAGGGGGATCACCTTTGCTTACTCTGATATATGACATACAAAACTATCTGTTCTCAAATAAACATGACCTGAATGGATACTCTTCTCAGTAGCAGTAATCCAAACTCCCAGTCCCAGGGTCTCTTTGTAAGGGCTTCAGCTGGGATGGACAAAGATGGAAATTAACAACTTCAGGAATGAATGACTTCTGTGAGACTTCTTTCAGACAATGCATTATGTTTCAAAGTGGCAACGGTGTCACATATCCGTAGGGCCTACACAAATCGTTGAGAATGAGCCGGTCACTTGTTACAGAATGCTCTTCCCAGGTGGAAAGGCCGTATACAACTCTAAAATATCTTTCCACTTGAATTTCTGCAACATTACAAGCTTAAGACATGCCACTTGATCTCAAGTCATTAAAGGCGAGATGGTTCCATGGAAAAAACAAACACAGAGCATGAGACTCTGGGGTCATGGAGAGAGGGCATTGCCAAGGGTCTAAGGTTAAGTGTTTTCCAAGGAACAGCAATGATTAACTTTAAGTCTTGATAAACTTGAAAGGGACACTTCTACAACTTTATAGAAATTGTATGGACAGAATTGGAAGCAATGGGTGGATGGTTAGAAAAAGTGATGGGAAAAAACTTGTGATCTTGTAATTACGGGGCTAATGATTATAATGTAATAATGCAAAACGTGTGTGGTGGTACAGACTCAATTGTGCAGCGCAACATACTGGTACATGTACATGGACTTCCTCCATCAAGATCTCAGTGCAGGAGAACCATTACCTGACTTGGCAAGAAAATGTTCTTGAACATTGGCCAGGCAGTTTGTTTGTGCTGGCCAGAGTCCCAAGGACTTCTAGAAAGTCCTGACTCCCTGCTGAAGAGAAAGGGACCAGCCCTGGCAAATGCTACCGAACATCACGGAAATGACAGGCAGAACTATCAAGCTGGCTAGTGACAGAGTGTACAAAGATTTTTGAAGTTTCTAAGAAAGGGGGAAATTCAATTGCCCTGCATTAAAAGACAATTGCCACTCACTCAATTATCTACCGTACTCCCTTTTATTCACCAGTTTAAAGAAATAAAGAACTTGCAATTTAAAAATGTTTCCCATCGGCATTTTTATGCTGTGCATTTGCATACATTTTGGGCTTTGACTGCAAACAACATTTACATGTCTGTTGATTTCTAATCATCTCTACCCTATTTCATTCCAGATAACACAGCATTTTCTTTATTTGCCACACTCAAGATGCACAATACCACACAACCCTCATCATTGTCATAAGGACCTACTCAGTTGAAGTGATGACCCATTACTGCTGAAACAGTGTCTACAGGAAGATGTTGGTGGAACTTTGTTGTTTAATGGAGATTACAGATCAGGCGAGACAGCTTTTCACACAACATTTTATCACAGCTGTGAGATTTTGTGGCATGTGACAGGGGTAGTCAAACACTCCAAAATCACTTCCCGAAGGTAAGATTCAGTGAAACAATGAAGAGTGATCTCACATTGTGAAGAGGGTCTGAATTGGTGGGCTGGAAGTTTCAACAATGAACTCTGCCTTCGAAATGTCATCCCTCAATCCAATGTCACTGCTGGATGACTGTAACTTTGCAATTGTAGGCAAAGGGTGTCAATCTGGTCACTCTGACAGTTACAATCTCTCTCTTGGAAGAATGGCAGGACGGGGGAGGACAGAGGATTGAGTGCATTGCATCAATCAGTACAAAGAAATGATGCAAGATCTTAGTGAGGCCTCTGGACTCTGGCACATGACCGAGTCCCACAAATTATCACAAATGATAAATTTTGAAGAATTACTTTGGAGGTAATTATTGGACTTACATCATGCTCTGTATTTCTGCAGCAAAACTGACCCTCTGTGTAGACACCTTAGCACTGCTACCTCCTGTACTCTGCTGGGGGACGGTATCAGGACTAGCTGCTGGTGGTGTCTGACCACTCTGCCAAATCAAAAACGGAACAATTCCTCATTCTAACAGTCCTGAATTCTATGATTTCAATGCACTTTTTCAAGTTTCGAGTGTAAAGGACTCAAACTCTCCCACTTTTAAAATCAGCTAGTTTGTTTTTTCAAAAAAGCAAGGTCATTCAGGAACAAAACACACGTGTGAGTCCTGTAGGGCCGTGAGCTGATACGGTAGAATTCCTTTGGGGCATGCGCAGTTGGAATACCAAACTGGAACATTGCAATTTATTATTTCAGTCATCAAATAGTTGTTTTAAAAAAAAATTGTGCCGAATTTTGTGTTTTACACTGAATGGTTTTAAGAGTCTTCACTACCGAATGGAAATTCAGAGCAACCAACAGTAGCGTATACAAAAATTGAGACCCTTAACTAATCACTTCTAATACCAGCAAATTCACTTTTTTTCCCAGATAAAGCTTGAACCTTTTCCCAGTTGAACATATGTAGACCTATGCTCTCTTCTTAACAGACTAATCCTCAATGAGATGGGGGGTTGGTAGCATCGTTCTCTCTCCACATTTATTCCAGTATCGTCCCTATGAGGTTTTTTTTTTCATGTACTGAACCTTGGGTTTTTTTCACTGACATCTTGCAGTCATTTTGACACCAATTTTTCGAAAACTGATTGGCCATTTTAATGCAATGTTCATTTTTCCAAGACAACTATTCGGCAAAAAAAACATACTTTTTCACTGCATGCTCAATGTATGCGAGTCGACATGCATTTGAGGTCACAAATTTCAAATGACCACAACAATATCAAAACCCTATGTCACATTACTCATAAGTGTCTTTACATGCGTGCTAAGTTTCAAAAGAGTTCCATATACAGAAAACACTAGATGTCTCTGTGAACAACTTATGAAACTTGTCTGAAAAAGTGTTTTCTGAATGACCAAACTTAGCATACATGTAAAGACATAGGTTCTAGACACACAAGAGAAGTGACATTGAGTTCTTGAAGTAAGTCCACTTTGCAAAAGCTGTTCATTTTGACTTTGCAATGAACTTGCTATCAAAATGCATTTAAGTTGGATTGGATACTTTCTCCATTAGTAAAAACGGCAGTGAGTAGAAACAAACCTGCCAAGGCAAAAAACCCCTAAAACCGCATGAAATGTGTGCTAGTCATGAGGGGCTGCAGTGAATCGGACATCTGTCGTGATGTCATCAGCCATGTCGGCCAGCCATTCTTGTGGTCGAGATGACGTAAATGAGTCTTGATTCTTCTCTCTGATTGGTCAATTGGTGACTATTCCATATATTACACTTGAAACTCAATGGAGCAAAATAGTGTTGCGGTCTCAGGGGAAAATCTGAATTAGGCCTATTGACTAAACTCTTAACCTTTATATCAGACTAATCTGAGTAACTTGGACCCTACAAATCGCGTAAGCACCACAATGTTCATTGTACAGTTTCGATTTAATCACAACTACTGGACATACGACACTCAGGAATCAGTCGTCAGTGCGCGTGTGCTGACACGGCATACTTTTTTGTGAATGGTTCGCTAGAGGCAGGTGTGCCGTGATGTCGTCTCACGGACATTACCATACAGTTCAAATCATTATTTGAACAAGAGGGTGACATTACGCTCGACGACACTACGATTTCTGACTTGAAGAGGAAATTTCTCTTTTCTTCCCAAATGTGAGTAAACCTTATCATCATTATTGGAATCTCTGATTCTCACTTGATGCTAAGCTGGGTGCAGTAGACAGTTTAAGGACCATTTTGGAGGTGAATTTGGAGGATTTTGATTTGGGATACCAGCTATTTTAAGTGAAATGAATTAATGGAAGCAAAAGCCTATGGAAGGTACTTGGACCCTACTATCGCCCGACCATGTCCAAATGTTTTTAAAAAGGCGATTTGTAGAGTTGGACTAACAATGCACCTGTAAACAGGGCCCAACGAATACTCCTCCGTCGTATACTGGGCCCTGTCCCGATTCATAGGGATTTCTTTCGAAAAATTTTATCCGGGATATCCCGGGCCATCCACTTGATTTTATGAGCTGAAATTGCACTGTATGACTACTTATGGGGTAAACTTTCCGCTAGGTTGCTAATTGCAGAAAACTTGCCTTTTCCTCATTTGGAGGAAAAAATGTTGCCTTTTTCTTGCCGTTTTCCCACTCTGACTTGTACATTACACAGACTCCTTTGTGTAGTTAAATAAAGGTAGTCTGTCATGTCTGTATGAGAGCCTGTCTAGTTTGCACCCAGACTTCAGCAATTATGAATTTTGTTCAGATCTGTGAGAGTACCTGTTGATCTAAGTACTCGTGGAAAATCACAGCTGTTTTGTGTCAGAGCTGAAATGTGTGCCATGCCCTTGGCTGGTTCCCTGTCCAGTCACACACGGGTGTACTAATCAGCATCAACACATCGTCAACACGCGTCAACACATTGACAGTAATGTCAACACACCGTCAACACTTCCAGAATGCATAGAAAACAGACGTACCGAACTGTAATGTATACACTTAGGAATAATTTCTATTTAATCGAGTTTACATTTTACTACATTTCAAGGGAGTTTTTTCACGCTAAAAATTTGTCTCTGAGCAGCGCCACCATTCCCCGCCATCTTGCCTTCTCACGGCGTTTGTGTTGACACGTGTTGACGTTGTGTTGACATTAATTGGTACGACCAGTCACACACTGCTTGCGGCAGTCATTGGTAGAGCGGCTCTCCATGACGTGAAACGAAAGTGACAAAATAGCGGTCAGGTTTGGGCAAGTGGGGCAAAATTTGTAAACGGCAAAAAAAGGCAACATGTTTACGGGTCTAGACTAACAATAACATCAAACATGCCTAGTATTTATGCAATGTGAATATCTCTCACCATGACCATGCCTGCACTGTACCAAAAAAGGTTTGTTATTTCTATCATAATGCAGCAAAAAATGAGGAAAACATGCAAACCCTGTACAACGTGAATGGAGATTTGCCCCTTTGCCCAGACGTGAGTGCAATTTCCTCCGATCCAACCGCGAGAATTATTGTCACTCTTGTCAGCATTGTCATGATTTTCCGGGGGGGGAAAATGAAACCTAAAACTTCAACTTAAATGTGGCACGTACCTTTGGTTCTACAGCAGCCCCTGATGCTGGAGACTCTTTACTTTTTTCAGTCTTCTTTTGTTTCACCTTTGGCTTCGTCATGGTGACAAATTTCTGTTAAAATAAGCCCGAGAGAGTGTATCTTAAAGTCTCCTGGACGCCGCCATTTTGAGCAAGTGCGCGAGTTGTTTATTACCTACTCGACGACTGTTTTGTGTCTACACGTCACTAGCATAATATGTAAAGCGTGAACTATACATGTACTTCAGCGGACCTGGTCGCGCGGCTTTCTTCACATCCTGGCCCTTTTTGTAGAACAGTTTGAGGAATTAGGTCACACTGCAAAGTAACACCCTGTGATGTGGTCATGGCATAATACTAAAAAGAGTTGATTTTAACACAACAGATTTGGCAGTGCAAATTCATGCCGCAATCCCCTCCCCCCGTTTGTCATACACAAAACTGGCGAATAACAAAGTGAAATGCTTAATGCCTGTGCCATATAACTTCGCCAGTATCAGCGTGAGAGTTCCCATGCAGGCTCCCCATAGCCCCCCCAACAAATCCAACCTGCTAGAGCTAACATTTCCAGCATTTCTCACAAAACGTTCCTCCGATTTCCAAAATTTCCAACTCTTTTCCAGAATGTTCAGAAATTCGAGCAAGGGGCTTTCAAATCCATGTCTTTCTCTAAATACGAACAATTCACAATAGTGCACCTCCAAGAGTTTGCAACGTGTTAGCCAATCAGAACATGCGAAAATTGTCGACCCTTTCCAAACGTGCAATGGGTCGACAAATTTCGCGCATTGTGATTGGCCAACGCATTGCAAACTCTTGGAGGCGCACTATTGTGAAACGCCCGTATTCATCCAGCCCACGAAATAGTCCCTTTATAACCGTGACACCCCCCCACACACACACATAGACACCAAAGGGTGCACTGAACCAATTCAAGCTCTATTGATAATAGTGTAAAATCAACCAAGTTTGGAGCCCCATGACAGGTAACTGAAGTCCCTGAGGCCACTCAAACAAAAAAACAATGTGTTATTTGGTCCTTCAGATTTCATTTGATTTTCAATTCTTAGTAAGTTAATTAACCAATGATTTTTTTTAATTATCCACGCAAAACAAACTCACCCCCCAAAAAGTGAATATTGCCAAGTCCTCCCAGCGGCCATTTTTCAAATGACATCCCTCACCTTCCTGGGGCTCTTCTGACTAATTTTCAATCCCTTTTTTTCTGCTCTGCCCCCAGATGGGTGCCCCTGAATCTACAGAGATAATCCTGGGCCATACTGACACAATTCCACCATTTCTTGGCCCAAACAGACCCCTCTTTTTGAAACAATTTCTGGGGGGTACTTTTTGTGCGCCTCCGCCAGGCGGAGAATTTTCCTTGAATTCGGACACTGCACCCAGATCTGCGTGATGAACCGCTGCCGCGAGAGGGCACTATTACGACAAATCGCTACACGTCACAGCCACCTGCAAACATTATGGGTCCAGTCCACNAAGCAAACACACGCAACATAAGAGGGAGTCAGGTTGGCGTTGACGGTTGCGGTTCTTTCTTTGCCTTTTGCGTCAGCAGCCCTGGCTCGATTCCATCCTCTGTCCACATGTAAATCGGTTTTCAGTCCCTACCTGATTTCGTGATGATTTGCCCAGAATATTCCGCTGGGTTTTCCTCCCACCTCTAACTGCTTGTCATTGTCTCCTCTCTACAGGTTTCCGCAGGCTGGAGAGCTACAGTACTTTAGGTGCTTTTGAGGAATCCTTGGTGTCATTACCAGAAAGACTTTATAATAAAAACAATGACTTGAATTTTTTTTAGGACGAATGTCATTTCAGAATGGAATGTCAGAGTCCGAGTATGACCTTTGCGGCTTTTTGTATTCAAGCCTTGGCGTTTAACTAATTCTCCTGGCGATTCATTTGGGAAATAAACTTTTTAAAAAACATCTCTTGAATTGCTTGCCGAAGCAATTCATAAGCCTTTTCGATTGACAATATTAATTTAATGTCAGATCGCAAAGTCAAATGCATTTCCTGGAACGTGTATGTAGTGCTGGTTATTTTGTGCGACTGGACAAACAGAATTTACATGTTTTTCGTAATTTTTTTAAACGCCTCATTGAAGTGTCGTCTGCCGAGTGTAGCAATTTCCATTGCGTGGGATGACGCATTCAAGGGAGTTGGATTACACACTTGTAGAGTGTGCGAATATTACAATTAACGTGGGGGAAATTGCTATAGTATTTTCCGATTCGTCGAAAACGATCACCAATGCAGAGGACTTCTTCGAAGCGTACCACGCGCCACGTGCCTAACGTGCAAAGCGGCATTGATGGCTTTACATCCGATGTTTCGGTCACTCTATTTGACCAGGGGAGGACTTTTGGAGAATTCTTTGTGTAAAGGACAAGAAGAGCCAAATTTACTTGTTGATGTTTATCCATGTCTTCGACTTGTGACATTATAAGACAATAAGGCTGGCACAAGTGGGTTGGTGTGATTCGAAGTAATGGGTCTGGAGTGGGTGTGTAAAAAAGGTGCAACGACATCGAGTAGAACATTCTCTGATCAGAGTGCGGTGCAATGCTCGATAAAGTCAATGTTCTACAAGGGGTGAGGCTAAAGGTAGGGGACTTTTCGATTTCGCTTTCGAAACAAACAAAACTCCCACTTTGCGGGACGCTTTGCATACATCGCGCTAAATTAAAAAGACACCGACTTGTGGCTAGAAGAGTACAGGAATGGCGCAAAGAAATTTTCAAATAAAAATAAGTGGGACCTGCGGATTGTAGTTGAAGTTGTGTGGGGCTGCAGTGGGAGGATAAACTTGCTATCGCTTTCTTTAAAGTCTTACAGTAGGAATTGTAGGAATTGACACACATCAAAGTAAACGAAACTAAGTTCCTCGTTTGAAAACAAACTTGAGCTGGGGGTGAGAGGTATACTTGTGGAAAACGCTCTTAAACTTCTGAAAAATACGCCTACCAGTTAGGTAATCAAGGTGATACCTGCACAAGCTCCTAATATAGACATTTAGGTCTAGTCGAGAAACTAAACAAGAGGAAAACCAAAGAATAATATGGCACAGAGGCGGTAAAAGAAAGAAGATAATATTGAATTTGCGATACGGGGAACTCTTCAAGACGTTGGTGTTTTGACTCTGAAGTTTGCAAAGAGGCGAAAACAAACAAACAAACAAACAAACCAAGATGCGTTCAACAGACCGCAAAAGCAGGGAGTACGATCTTATTTGGATGGTGTTTGGAATTTAACACCCTAACTTCAGAAGCAAACCTTTCTCATGATTTCCACGTAGATGTTTTTCTTAACTTTTATATTCTGACGAGGTGGCTGAAATTTCACAGGTGAAACCTCTTGTGAAAATAACAGGCTAAGTTTGTCATCACTAAATCGTTCATAGTGTTGTGGTTTAAAGGCTTCGAAGTTCATTCATCCAACATTGACACATCACATTCACTTATAATAAACTAAAAAGCCATGAAAATCTTTCTTATTTGAAAAATCCTGACAGAAGATGCACCAGTCTATGAGCCAATGAGCAGGCATATAACATTTTAGTAAAAACAAATGTTTGATCTTATCACGTGACTTGTCTGTCATCCAATCCCATGATGCATTGAGAATATAAATATTGGTTAATTTTGCATGCACAGGTATTTGAAATAAATGCTTCCTGGCACACGAAAACTTCCAGCAATGGTACAAACTACCGCTCCGCCCCCCCTTACGAACAGGCACGGGGCAGACGTCGGATTCCACAGTTCTGGGGGTAGGTACAAACAGTGCAAGACAAAAAGGAAATCCAAACAAGACCAAAATTTTAAAATCTCTTCATGTTCAGGATGCATACGGTATAATGCCCTTCAGTTTGCTCTCATCGTTAGTTCTACGGGTACTTCTATGAACCACAGCGGAAAGCATACTGATGGGATTACCGACATAAGAACTGTTTGGAAGACTCCCGCGAGATAGCGCGCAGAGGAAACCAGTGTATAAGCATACTGCACCGGAAAATCTCGGTCCAGTCTCGGAAGTCGTGATAGAACCAGAGTTACCTAACACCTCTCTCTAGCTCCCAATGTTGGGACAACAACCTGTGCTCTCTGGGCGGGCGGAAGTTCACTCGATGTCGCCCCCAAAATAGGAAGGAAGTGATCACTAGCCGTCACAGCTTTGGCGGAAATATACCGCCAAAGGGCGCAACTTCCACTGAAGGTTGCACACTGAATGTAGGTTATCCTTTGAACTTTAAGCAGAAAAATGAATTTAATTAAGGCAGAGGTGGAAATGAAAACGTCAATGCATTTCCCCTGCTTAGGAGAAAATCAGATTTTGGAAATATGAAACGCGTTTGGAACGTGAGGAAGGTCGTCATTATCGAGAATTTAACACTAATGATCGGGTACTGGCGCATAACAAAATGTGGTAGCGGTGGGGAGGGGGCTTGCATGAAGTGCCCCCCCTTCAATTTGCGGGCACGAATTAGTTAGGGAGATCGGTTTAACTGCTGCCTTGCTACACAGGTTGAATACGACAATGCGACAAGCTCCGGATCGAGTTCTGGACACAACATGGAGGATAAAGTGCTTTTGCACTTTATAAATTATAAAATAATAAGAACAAAATACAAATAAACTATTAAAAATAGAATGTTAATAAAGTACTAAAGTACTTTTCTCACTTAATGTGAACACTCATCATTTTCGGCGAATTTCCGCTGAGTTTGACGTTGAAAAATTCACCTCACTTTCACGTCAAAGAAAGATACGAGTTTCGCTATAATGACAAAGAAACGATAACGAATGTGAAATACACATTTCATGTTGGTGCGTATACACCTACAGATCCATTTTCTCTCAATTTCTGAAAGTCGGGATTGTACATTAAACAAGTTGTTGGAAAATACTGTAAACAACAACACAAGTTCTCCAAGGAAGTTCATATAAATATCCCCATGACCCAGGTTTTTCAACGTTGCCTAAAATCATGTTATCTTTTAGCGTAGAACTACGAAAATACAGCTCCGTGGTTCAACACACGCACACCGTAAATCGCGTGTACTGTGGGCCTACGTGTACATGTACATGTACATTACATGTACATAAACATGTACATGTACGTATGCACTGCGAATCCGATTACCGCGTGCCGAGGACACAGTCATTCATAAATTTCCACCGGAAGCGCGCACGCTGGCTTATTCATGAGCAGGCGGGGCTTAAAGTCGACCACGCCTCCGCACCTCGTGCAGTCCATACAAAACAGTCAATGAACAATTACTTCATCACAACAGAGTTCATTCACACTACGTGACTCATGGCACACATCCCGTCATCAAACGAACAGAAGTGCATGAAGCAAAACTCGCATCGCCAGAGCCAGGTTCGACGTGGCTACGATCGCTTCGCAAACTGATGACGCAGTATGCGTGATGTCTTCATTCCGTTTCAACCCATCAACACTGACGGATTGAAATTGTTCTATCTGCTCGAAATAAAAGCGGGATCTTGTGCTTGAGCGCTTCAAAGTCCGATTAGTGTTTGTAAACTGAACATCGTCTTGACAAACTTGTCTGAGCCGTAGCTACCTACCAGTTATTACCGCAAGCGTGTAGCGGATCACCACCGCTCATTGAGTATTCTGAGCGGGTTGTTTTATGTGGTTAACAGTGAGGTGTGGTTTGAATATCAATTCTCTCCGTCTGGCGTATAGAGAGCTTCCGCCAAGCGGTCGCCAGTAAATTTTGTTCGGGGTGGTATTCTGGTTCATAATTATCCGTGTCCAGAGAGAGAAAAAAACCAACCGTGCCAAATGCATATCACGCAGGAGGACCGCCATCTCTCACCGTTGAGTGGCCCACTGATCAGCAAGGACAACCATAGAGATCGAAACAGCCATTACTACAATCCTCTCAAAATGGCCGACCCGGCCGGCGGCGGGAGAAAAGCAGTCTTGAAAGGGCCGAGCGGGGAAAGGACTCTCTCCGAAGCCCTGGCAGACTTTCCCGGGGAACTGGTGCGGACCGAGAGCCCAAACTTCGTCTGCTCCGTCTTGCCATCCCACTGGAGATGTAACAAGAGTTTGCCCGTGGCTTTCAAAGTGGTGTCGCTGGGAGAAATTAAAGATGGGACGATGGTGTCCATCGCGGCAGGCAACGATGAGAACCACTGTGCCGAGCTCCGGAATGCGACAGCGGTCATGAAAAACAACGTCGCTAGATTCAACGATTTGCGATTTGTTGGAAGATCCGGCAGAGGTAGGTTCATTTACATTATTATTTGATAATTATAAACTGTTTACATAATTAATTAAGGTCAAGCTCTCTGGCAACGGTATAATTTTTATCTGGAGAGTGCGGTTTCTCTCGTGGTCAAAACCGCTACATGTACCACGTGGTTATTCAAGTGCATGGCAGGTGTGAAAAGTGACAATGGAACACGTGCGCGCATCTCAGACCAAAACTGTAAATTGTGCATTACGACCCACAAAAAATTCGGTTTGTCTCTGCATATTCAAAACTCTCTGGTTATAAGAATTGAAATGAAGATTTTCCTAAAAGCTGATGCTTGATTTCGAGGTCGTAGATTGTACTCGTGATAACATTCTTACTGGTATTATTTACAAGAATTTTAGCCGGCGTCGACGCGGTCGACGTTAATGTTGCAGTACTAAAATAATGGGTGAATCATCAAAAGGCTGAAGCCTGAATCGAGAGATGAATGCCATCGCTGCATTCTTTAAATAATTGTTCCCGTATTACTTGCATGGTTGAAATATCTGGCCATTATCAGGCACTTTGGAAAGTGCATAATCCTCGGATAATCACTGATTGTTCGTTTTGTTATGTTGAACAAACGAAGAGATATGTGTGTCTGTTGGGAGCGTCGCTTGCCAATGACGCCCACTCACACTCGCTAGCGCTATGTCATCCGCTTTGAGAGGCGATTTCTTGGAAATCGACGGGTATGTGACTCGACAGGCAGTGCCAGCCGAGTTCCGGTCGACAGCCCGCGGATGTTCGCTACGTGCAACGGTTGCGCGGTAACTGTGAACACAGAGGGAACAACTAGGGCCAACCAAGGCTAATGAACCAGGTGGGCGTCCCGTTGACACCAGACCCGTATACCCAGTCAGCTCAGCCAGACCGGAGCTATCGGAAGTGGGCCGGCTTGTGGGAATCGTATCCCACCATTTCCTTCAAGACTTTGACGAAGATGACACGCTCGATTAATTAACACCGGCGATGCCTCACACACCCAGGCATAGTCAATCGATTGGTCACTGGCCTATGGGGGTTTTTGTTCGAGTTAAATCTTCATTCGCGCATTCACGATTGTGATTCATTCATAAAAATCGACAGCTGATTCACTCACTAGTACTACGAATCTCCCACTACAGCCTTGTTCTACGGTTCCAATAGCCTCGGTTAACAATGCGTTACATGCAACGCGTGCACGTACATGTAGATGTACATGTACGTAGGCAAGGCACCCGCTGCATGTACGCTAATGGGTGATGGTGCACCCATTTCCCGATAATGGCCCCACGCGTTTCACCATACCTTCATCAAATTCATGGGCCAAGGTCGCTCACTTGCACGTATTATCTCAAATTGCTGACTGTCTTTAAAGATCTGTAATTATATTCAGGATTCTTCAAAATTCATAATCGTACCCTCAGTGTGGACGATACTTGCACTGAATTCAAGCGGTTGTGAGCAAGGAGAAATCGTATGATCAAAAAATTATGATGCCCATAATGAGAAACAACTTCTGATTTCAGCACTATTCTGAAATGTTGCTTTAACATGTACTGTTTATTACACGCTGATGGTGAGAGGATTTAACCATATTTGAGTACAAACGTAACACCTTGTTGGTGAATTCTAGGCTAATTTAAGGGATGTGACTTTTTTGAAGTGAGAATTGATTACCATGTCCCACTCAGTACCAGCAGGATAATAATCATAACCTATAAACAAATTTCTGTGTAAAGCGGATTTGCTAAGATGTAGAAATACTTGAACTGCTAGCCAGAATGGCTGCTGTCGGTTTCCGATTATGTACCACACCAGCTTACTATCCTGTGTTGGCAAAAACGAAAAGAACACAGCGGGAGAAAAATTGGAACATATCCAATCACACAGCATGAAAAGACAGGAAAGCACACGTTGGGTAGATTAAGTGAAAAGAATCAGGAAAGTTCGTTACAGCTGATTTGGATTTTGAAGAAAAAGGGACAAAGGGAACGATCTACGGCGGATTTCATTCAGGCACGTACAGGCTGCCACTAGCCTGTCCTTGACTTTGTGTCTTTTCCGTACCGAGATATTAAACGCTCTTGACTGTGTACGTAGTTGGGTTGCCTCCGTGTGCGTGTACATATAGAGAGCTCTTATCAAAACTGCATGCACAGATATTCAGATTTGTGTGCATACATTTCAGGGGTAAAAATTGCGGGAAAATTTATACTTGATCGAAATTCAGAGGTAAAGAAATGAAAACTTAAAGAGTGAATGTAGTACACTTGACATTTTGCAATAAAAATGAAATAATGAGAGCTGCTTCCTTAATGATATTCGCAAGAACCTTCGAGTCAAGCGGTGTAAGAAATGCCTGTAAGACGGATAATCAAAACCGTCCCACCAATATCATTCTTTCCACAGATTCAGGTATCTATCGTTGGGCAATAAACATGAAATTTAATGAAAGTTTATAGTACAGACGCCAAAGTCATATAAAGAAAAAGGAAGTTCAAAGCCTTCGTAAACATCGGAAGGATTTCCAGAAATTTCGTCCTTCGCAACTGATAGTGGATATCACACAAACCGCTAGAATCACTACCGTTATTTTTTTTATTTTTTTAATCGCATTTTCAATTTTCTTTTCAGAGAAAATAAAGCTCGTGGAAAAACTGAAAGCGAATATGATAAAGAGTAACACTTTCAACGACTGGATTTGTAAATAATTATTTTGCTCCACTTGTTTTCGTTAAATAGTGACATAAAAATACAATAACAATCGATGGTTTCTACCATGTACAATGCAGAATAACTATAACGAAATAAAGGAGAACTTTAAAGGAGTTTACAGCCACAGAGGTTTGATTGTACCATGATTTTACAAGCCATTTTTGAAAGAACAAAGACCGTTTTGTCTAAGAAAAGCCACGATTCGGACGAACTCTTGGCCTCCCAAGTCGGACCAGACGGAGACTTGTCTCGACTCGCGACAGCGCGGTGTCCGGGGTTCGGCGGATAACCCCCAGTTTCAGCACTTCTTACTCACCGGGAGGTCTCAAACAAGACCTCCACGCCGTCCTACGGCGTGCCACGCTACTATTGGAGTCGCTGTCGGAGTCACCAAAGTTGCACATAAAATTTTTTGCTCAAATGCGAAGAATCATGAATTCTTAATTAATCCTTTTTTACAGCTTCGTCTCTAAAATTAATATTAGAAATTTCATAGTTATGCTGAAGCAGAAACTTTGGAAGGTCTGAGTTGTGTATAGTTTAAATCGTTCAACGAAGAGAACTTTTTGGTGTTTTCTGCACCAAACATTTGGCGCCTGGGAGGACTTTTAAGATGCAAACAGATTTTACTTTTTAGACATTTTCAAGGATTGACATCCACCCGACAGTATTTCTTGGTAATCCCTAGTTCTTATTCTAATACCTGATTTCAAAAAGATTCAGAATAGGCGCTTGCTATATTTGTATTTTTGTGAGGATTGTAGGCCTATATGCTTTTGGAAACCACCACGAACACTTTTGTTAAATTTTTTGCATGACTCTAAGAGCAGCAGGAATAATCAAGGACCTCTTTAGAATTAAAAAAAAAAGACAAATTATTGGAAAAAACCTGGATCTACATGTACTTTCAGTACTCTGGACGGTGGACGTTGACAAATTAACTTAAACCGCTCGCGTGCCGATTGTGTGAAGTCAAAAAACGGGCATGTGCTGCGGTTAGTTTAAATTAATTCCTCCGAATTAATCCACTCAAACAGAATGATTAACATCGGCCAAGTCCACTCAGCCAGCTTCTTTGAACCGCCTCCAACTTTTTTACGAGAACAAAGTAAAATCGGCAGGTGTGTTTTAAAAAGATAGACGTGAATTGCGTGCGGTCGCCAGGCTGAGCCCGCCTCGCTGTGACCGATCAAAGCGTCTGTCGCCTGGGCCAAGGTCTTCAAGCCTAGTAACTCGCTGCTATCAACTTCCATTTCTTAGGACTATTTCAAGTTTTGTTTATTTCCAAAAGAAATCTTTAAAACACAAGCTAAACCTTTGTCCGTGACAATCTTTTACACGAAAGTCCGATTCAGGTTGCTGTATAATAGGAAGGCTGATTTGTTTGGGATTATCCTTGAACCGAGGTACGCTAACTTAAGCGAGCAAACGTCGGCCTCCTGATGGGCCCAATCGCTTCATTGTAAGGGAACACTTGGTCATGTGTGCTGGCAAGATGTAGTGTGTGTTTCGCACTTTCTTAATTGGCATGCCCATTCTGCTAACCCCTTGCAAGGATATCCTTGAACTAGGCTTGACTGTTTATGTTACAAGATTGTATATGTTCATGTGCCGTGGGCAAAACACACCAACCTTTATAGCTATAGGCAGGCTATGCCTTTTTGTTAAAAAATGCCATAAGTTAGCAGAACTTTGTCGATTATTTGGGGTCACTTTAGCCAGCAAGCATTTGCAATATTTCGAGTACTCCGTATTTTCCAAAAAGTTTGAATTCGAAGAATTTTTTTGAAGTAAATTTGTGTGGTCCGACCTCATTTGTGAAAGAGAAGCTAATTCAGAAAAAAACTTAAATTACCACATCAACAGAAATTGTTGAACATTTTAACATGGTCTTTAGTCAAATCGCGCACGACTGCTGACCACTAACTAAGTCTGAAGAAAAAATATAACCGCCGGTTGTAAAATTCATTCGAAGCAGGCAAATTTCCTTCGATAGTCAGAAATTACACAGGCATAACTTTACACTAGACATAACTAATTATATTTTTTGGTTGTTTTGGTGTGGGGTCTCGATCTTAGAACTAGCAGTGGTGGATAGGAACGAACCTAGGCGGTCGCCCTGGTAGGTTGGATATACTCTTCCCCCGCGCAGCACGTTGTCTAGACTTCCAAATTAAGTTCAACTCCACTCCCTTGCCCATTCTAAGAACGACCGCTACAACACCCAGGATCTCGCTCATTTACTCAAATTTGAGACCTCCACTCGGATGTGGAGACAATTTTACGAGAGATGTTTTTTCACAATGAAAAAGGAGTCGGGGACTATCATTTACCAAGTCATAAAAATCGTCTCTGCGTTGGCGTTGTAGACCATGTGTCTTTGTTAGAATGTGAAATTTATGCTGGTAGCTATCAGAAATTTGGCTGTCTGAAATTTCTACAGAGTAACAGGACATTTTCAAACACATTCATATCGAACCAACTCGACCCTACATTTTGAATTGTACATGATAAAACCATGCAGCAGTTGGAAAAACTGCTAAGTTATCGCGAAACACTATCGCCGTAGTTAATCGTGAAATCCGTGAAGTTAATCATACTGAGACAAAAGAAAACAGGAAAGTTTGCCGAATGAAATTCGTTTGTTTGGCGACTGTGCAGACATTGAGGCAAAGTGAATTTCTGCCACGATTGATGTCTGAAAGTCGGTGTAACTTCGACGGCCAAAGTCTTTGTTCTGGAACTTCCAATGACGAGCACCCCTGAACAAACTCCTGTATTTTGTTGTTCCCTGTGTATCTATTAATTTTTATGGATAACCCCTCTGCTGTAAGTTTGCTTCACAACTTTTTTCCCAACTTGTGGCCATGGCAAGTTGCCATCTAGCTTTTGGACACACGGTAAATACGGCCTTTGGACTTTCCGAAATCGTTTATCGGGGTATTTAATAACGTACACCTGTGCATCGTTAGGTGCACTGGCTGTGTTGTTTATACACATTTTCACGGTGTTGTGTTATGGTAAGCTTTGGTAGATTATAATAGATTACCTTGATTCTTGCTGGTAAAGTTCGAAGGCCTGACTGGCTTTTTAGCTGTGTTTACAAACATTGCTGGCATATGGAACCAGGTGTTAAAAGGGCTATATTTTAAGCAGCTCTGTTATTAGTGTTAATTGTATACATATCCACCTGTTAAAATTTGGAGTAAGGAATTTCAAATTAAACCAAACATTTTTGTTCAGTTTGCTTGAAGGATTTTCGAGGGTATTTGTGAATACTAATAAAGAAAACTAGATACTTAAGAGTGTGAAGATCTTACAAAATGCAAATAGTTGCGATGCATCGAGGAGCCGAAAGGTAAGGGAAACCATGGTAGCTCTAGTTTGTTTTCCATAACTGCATTGACCAGGTTCCATATACACGTCTTAGGTCCAAAGAGTACTTGGAAATTTCCACTGAAAAAAAGTTCGCTGGTGGGTCTTACCATGGTCTTACAAAATCCAGAACCTCCTGTCCTTGTTTGTATTTTCAAATTGGTACAACGCCAAGTTTGCTTGCGTAAACGTGACTTGACTCCGTTATCAACAGGTAAATACTGATAAGGTGTGAAGAAAAACATTACTACTAAGATAATCACTGTTACTAAACTAGTTCGAGATATTCTGGACCTGAAGACCACATTTGAGCTCTTCAGTTGTTAATATCTATGCGTGACAAAATGATTCTAGAATGTAGCAACTGCTGCCAAAATGTTTGATCTAAGAAGGAAAATCGAAGTAAATCAGTGGCACGAGTGAACAGTTCCTAAGTTTAATATCCAGCTTATGCATTTGCGAAAATGGCTAAAAACCTGACTAAAAATGAAACATTATTTATATTCATTGATCATTGAGAGCAGTTGGTTGAGGAATCCGATTGTACATCAAATTTTTTTCGACAGCAAGAGCGCAGTTCGCTGACAGTCGCACTGTTATTAAAAAAATTGTTGGTCGTTCAGCACAATGGGTAGCTGGCAACAACTACCACAGCTTCACCGGCCTTCAAACCAAAGACTTGACCTTACACAGCTTTGCATGACCACTTCAACACGGCTTTCTCTCTAATAATACACGGTACATGTACACCCATGTCCATAATGTCAATTGGAGCTTGTTACCACGCAAACTTGACCATCCTGATTGACCAATCAGGCACCTCGACTGACCTTTTGTTCTGGCTGGTCAGCAGAGCCAGACTTACCACAAGACCACAAATGGGAACATCTTGCCTAATGATGTGTAGTAGAGAATGGCAATTACAATTGGTGATAGCTGGGCGTAAACAAATCATGGTGCAGATGGAGACAGCAGCTTTTAAAACATCAAATATTCGGAATTTTTTCTACATTCATTTTTGTTGTAAGTTCTACTGAAGAGCAAGGAAACATTTCTTACGAGTAGATTTCTTTGTTACTGTTACTGTTAGTCACTAAAAGCTCCATTTGAAAGCTGTGGAAGAGTATTCAAATAAAAATTCACTCCGTAATCAAACATGGGACGATGAAGTGAGCTCCAGTCCCAAAAATCTAGACCCCAGTTTCACTCTCTGGGAATCAGAGAATGACGGTCAGAACATGTTGCACACAATAATGGTGTACATATGTTTTAGTCAACCACGGCACGCCACTGCATGCATCATTACCGCAAGAGTCAAGGGTACCAAAAAAGGAGAGACCAGACACTCTCAAATTTGACCAAGGGCTAATGAGTGTCTCGCTTCGGCGGGGAATTGAACTATGCGGCTTCTTAGGCAAGGAGAAAACCCCGTTTTATTTGTGGATGAAATGTAAGGAGGTGTTTAGACATGGATTCCCCGTTTAGGGAGGAGATATCGGTCCTGGAGTTTCTCAATCTCCGGCTGGAGCTGGTGACAGACACCACAACCCGAGACTTTGGCCCCACTGGGGCCACACCTTCCAACCACTCCTACAACAAACACACAGGGGGTGCTGGTCCCCGTAGCATACCAACGGTGACCCCAGGAACATTGCAAGAGGTGTTAAGGGTGTCGTTTGGGATTGAGTTCAGAAGTGAAGGAATTTCTGTGGATCATTTGGCAGGAAATTGTTCAGCCTGCTGTTCTCCTTTGCGGATAATCGGATATTGCTCTTGTTCATGGGATTTCAAGATATTCACTATCATTTCCTTCATTTACATATATAGCTAGTGGATTTAAACCACAAGCCTAAGCCTTTACAAACTTCTGCATATTAACTTTTTTCGAGCCAAACAGGTGACTGAATTTATAATAAGTCATTAATCAGTATTAATAACTTATTTATCTTTAACCCTTCCACTAATACCAAACATGGTTTTTATTGTACACGGCACTAAGCTTTTGTTGAATTAGTCAAAGCTTCATTCACAACTGCTTGAGCACTATTTCGGCACATTTAACTTTTTTATCACTCAACAGTTTGCACAGTCAGAATGACAAGCAATTTACGGGACAGGATTTTTTCTTATGTATGAAGTGAATTCTTTGTCACACTTCAATTGTTACATTCCAACCTTCTCATGTAACGGATGATTAGGGCATCGGCAAAGTTAACAGGAAAAATAACCACAGTTGATGTCATTATTCATAAAGGGGTTTTTGTTACTGGTCAATCGACCTCGAAACGACCAGGAACTGAACTTACTAATACGGGGGCTGAGAATGAAGCATCCTATTCGCGGGTCATTTTGAAACTTGCAGGTAATTTTGAGGGGGAACCCCCAAACCTTTGCAAAGGGACCAGAGATCAAAAGGTTGCACATAAAGAACATTTCCTTTTTTGTCTGTGGATACGACTCCTTCCTTTTTCAGATGTTGTGGATCAATGTTGCTTCATTCTGAGACACTGAACTTGAAATCATTATCCTACAACGCTGAGATCCATTTTCACTGCAGTCTGATTTCAAGAGCTATGAGTATTCAACTGTTTTCCACATTTTCAACAAAATTAAATCCATGGATTTATAACACAAATATAAATACATATGAGTAACTAGCCTGGACAAAAACCGAGAGCGCATGTCTGATTTACACTCTTTGTTAACTACAATTTTCCCATAATTTCTTTTCTGAATATTTAAGAAAGACCGTTTGTAAACTTTGTGGATAAACTGTTCCCGTTTCTAAGCCTCCTCCACTACCAGGCAAAAGCAATCCTCTCATTGGTCAGTCCAAAATGCGGGTCACGGGCTCTCTTTCCAGGAAAAGTGCCCCAAATATGCATAGAATTTCTTGCTTTTCATTGGCAGCAGATGGGGCTAGCTTACCCCCAGGGGCTTATTTCGGACCGGGCTGCTTAAATGTTTGCGGTGAAAATCGATGCTGGGCTCCGGAAGTTCTGGGCGACCGTCTGCATAACGGGTTGGGCAGTTGCAGCCTGCAACACAGACAAATATGGAAGAATGAGTTCAAGCCTTTTCTGTCTAACCTTATGGAGCTACTTGGCATAAAAATCAGCAAGCTGACTTTTCAAATATTCTGCTTAGCAAGAAGGAGCTATAATTTAAAGTATAAAGCAAAATTATATACATGTACATATGATTTTGCTCTTAATTCATACGCAGCTAATTTTTGCTGATCATATAAACTTCCTGCACAATTATTTCCTGTTCAAAGATTCTGTAAAACTGGGCCAGGCAAAAAAGGATTGTTTTTTTTTAGAAACAGTTAAAGAAAAACAGACTCAGTTTAATGTTGATACTTCATGTACAAAAGTACAATTGTACTGAAGCCATTTCATGGTTTATTTATTGCTTTGCTTGCTTTAAAATTGTATGTTACCATGGCAGTGACATTTTGCAGAAGCCTTTTAATCACATTATTGACTGATGCAGTAACAGTGGTATCCAAGGTAACACTAAGCTCCTGTAAGCTTTGAACATTTTCGTCTGTGAATTGTTGGATGACCAAAGCAGACCACAAGCTTGTCAAGAATGCAGGGTCTGCACCCCAGCAAAGGTGTTTTATGAGTTCCAGAACCAGTATTGCTTTATTTAGCAAACTTTCATCGCACGAATGGGACAATCAGTTGTTATTTAGATTTCAAAATGCTCATATTTGTGGGTACTGGAAAACATTGGAAGTCCTGTATCATGAATAAAGTTGTAAAGAAAGAAAATGTAGTAGGATTGTCAATGGAATGATCTTTTGGAATGCAAATGAGTAGGAGAATTTTGTGAAACGATTAAATTTGGACTTTAATTGCTGGGCTCCACAGTCTCATTCCATCAAAATCAAACAAACCAGGTGAAAGATTCTGTAGGATCAGGGATGCCGAAACAAAAACAGTGCAACTGAAGTGAATGCTGGCTGTTTAAACTGGGCAATTATTTGACAGTTCAGGTTTTCAAAAAAATTCTTGTTTTCCCCAATTTTACAGGAAAAAGTCTGACGTTATCAATTATCATTGCGACCAATCCACCTCAGATTGCGACTTATAACCGTGCAATAAAAGTGACAGTTGATGGGCCAAGAGAACCAAGAAGTAAGTACATTCTGCATTATTTACTTCACAATAACTGAAATAAATAAATCTGCAAATTAAGACTGGATACACTTTTGAAGGTTTGCACTTATGCCACAAGGTTCAACAGTCTGTCAAGACTAGTTTACTTGATTTTGTCGCTTTCATCCTCTACGATGCACTAGTTTCTTCAAGCTACAAATACAAATGGGAATCCCAGAAAGTATTTCCAAGAAAATGAATTTCTGGTTTTGCTTTTACAAATTGGAAGTTGGGTCTTGTCCAGAAAGGAAAATAATCTTCGCGGAGTGGGTTGCTTTCTCAACTGTGTCAAGTATTATAACTTGTAGATTGTACCGGGACGCACACTGGGATTTGATGGCAGAAAAACCCTTTCCATTCTAAATACAAATACCAAGGAGATTCCCATATACAGGTACATGAAGGTGCATCTGGGCCAATGAAAATTGACAAGTCAAACTTTAAAAAGTTTTGTGTTTCCATTTAACAGCCAAGGAAAGGAACCCACTGTGTGGTTATTCAAAACCTAATGGCCATAAAGGAAAGCAATACCCACTTCCCTAAATGAAACTTTCACTTTCAATTCAGGAGCCCCAAAGTTTGCTCTGCAAATTAAAAGGACAGGTAGACCACTGACTGCTGGTTGCAAATACTGTGCACCCCCCTGGCAAAAACTGGAAAGTCCCCCTGGCAGGAATTCAAGTTGGAATGCCAGTAACTGGAGGCATCAGAGTTTGAGTCATTTGGTCGGCCTCACAAGCAAGCTATGACATGAACAAGATGAACTTGATATAAAACAAGTTATTTGGGGGTTAGCAAAGTGGCAGAAGTCTTTGTACTACAAGCCAGGATGTTATAATTTTGGGGTGTAAAAGGGTGTCAGAAGACCCAGGAATCAGTTGCCAAATGCCAGGATTATTAGTTCCCACAAAGGATGTGTGAATGTGTGACAAAAAATTAAAATAGTAAAAAATTTACTGGTTTTCTTGTCGTCATATTCACATTCAAATCAACCTATCAGACTGAGATTTTCCCCTTTTATTTCATTTTTATATTAAGTTGTATTAATTAGACATAGACTTCTCTCTTTGAAGCCAACCTTAGCCATCTTTGGGGGGCGGGTTGGGGGCTGGTGTAAAGATTTGGCTTTGGTCCAGAAAAATGAGGGTTATCGGTTTCTGAATGAAAAAAAGGAATAGGTCTGTGAAAAAAAAATAGCCCAACTGCCGGGATTTGTGTCTTCCCTTCCCGCAAAAACCACAAGATATGCAGAAGGACAGTGGGCTTGTGTTACGACAAAAAAGGTGATTGTCCGGACTGGTTGTATTCCCGCCATTTTCAGGGTGATTCATGTTGGGTGGTGCATATTTAACAGGTTTGTCACCTGGTGTATTGCAACACAACCAGTGGAGTCCTCCTGGCATGTGTATCTCTTCATCTGTCCAATCCTGTCTCTTGGAATACCATGACATTCTTTGCTGAAGGGTGTTTGAAGTGGAAATTTAGATAATCATAAGAAATTCACTGTTACTCATTTACAGTTGGCTGGCTGTCTCTTACAGAAATGGGATGAAATTTGGGCAGCTACTGTTATTGAATCCTAATGGCCGTTATTTTCATCCAAACGACTACATATGAAGTTATAATTCTCGGGTGGTAAAATAGTCTTCTGTTAATCACAAACTAAAGTCAAATTTAAAGGGGATACTTTGGGATGAATTACTGTGAAGTGGTATAGGTTTATTTTGAAAGAAAAATGCAGTACTTAATGCACAATAGGATAAACGAACGATTTGCTTCAAACGGGGTTAAAGAGTGTATGCAGTGTGGAATTGTGGATGAAGCATCTGTGTAAAATTGATTTATTCACAACATACTTATTGTACAACAAAGACACAGTAGGTAGGAGAGTTAGTTAACTTCTTCCTTGGTGATTGTACAAAAAAATGTTTTTTGGTGTAAAGTTAATTTTTGGATAAACTTATTCTCAATTATGGCTACCTACTTCTTGCTACTGGTTAATTAATGAATGCCTGGGGGTAGCCACTTCCTCCAAAAATAAGGAACAACATTGGCTTGGACGGCCAATGTTGCTTAACCCGTCGCTGCTACCATCTCTAAACAATTGATTTTATTCCACATAGCCCCAGTTTGTACCTTCTGTCCAGTAGGTGAGCAATGGTGATTCACGGTGGGCGGTTAGTGTGGAGTTTTCTATTTCAGTAGCGGGGTAGTCTAAATTTACCATGGGTCGATGCTAGAAAGACACGTTGATGCGAGGGGCAGCCCCCATATGATAGTGACTCATGGTATGAATGTTACTCACAAGGTGTTAGAGTGTTCAGCGCTGGTAAATGTTCAGGTCAGAACCAGGCCAGGTTGGGGGGGAGGAAGAGGTTTATTTAAAGATACTACCTTTGTATTCCTTACAAGGAAGATAAAAGTTTTTAAAAGCATTTAGCATTCTCTGCGAGTGGAAATCTTTGAATTAAGCTGAAGTGGAGGCTTGTGTAACGGAGACAGTCCAACTCTCCATGAAGAACACTGATTGGGGGTGGGTGAGATGTGAACCAGTGACCCAGGATATAATTGTGATGGTGTGTTACCAACTAAGCCATCAGCTTCAATGTATGTATCCTGATATGAGCATCTGCCAGTGAGTCATTTCACTCAACTTAGCTCGTTGCATTGTGGTCCTCTCAGATGGTGAACATCCTAATGAAGTTTGTGAAAATGCTTGCCCGGATTTCCTTTATCTGTATTACAAGAGGTGTTAGGATCCAAACATTAATTGACAACTTGAATTCATTAACACTAGGAGTGGCGTATGTTGACTAAAGTCGCCATGAGAGGGAACCAAAGTTCGGCCAAAAAGTTGGCAGAGCATTGTTGAAATTGGGTTAGGCATATCCAGGTCAAGATGGGGGCAAAGGCAATTTCCGCTGGCATTGTGAAGTATTAGTAAACAATTGAGTGATTTGCTATCAAACAGTGTTTCTGCTTTGTGAGTTCTGGCAGTGGGATTCTAAAGGCTTATCGCAATTAAGCTTTAGATTTCTAGCAGTGATATGACAAATTCAACTCTGAGGCACATTTGGGGTTTGAAATTAAGACTCTTAGAATGGAAGTTACATGTTTGTTGCCGTGAGCAATGAAATAACATCACATGCTTTGTTGCTTACAAAGGTTACCAGGTTATCAAATGTCTTAATAATGGTATAGGGGCCTACGGAAGAAGGGTATATTGGTGTGTCTTTGGAACAGCTTTAGACAAACAGAGTATTTGTGTAAAGATTGACTTTGTTCAGTAGTAGTGGCATAAAGTGATTAAATCGTGTGTGTTGAGTGGTATGGTTCATTAGCAACCTAGCCGATATGCTTTAGTGTGCCTATGCTGTATGTTCATAGAATGACTTCCAGAAATACTTTCTCTTGTGTACCGTGAGTGCACTGCAGCCTTAAGTATTGGTTTCAGAGAAGTGAGGGGTTGGGGATGCTATTCGAGTACTTCAGTAAGCCCTGACCTAGTTCATGACTGGAATGGGTAATGTGTCCAAAGGAGAAATCCAATTGAGTGTCATGGTTACATCTGCATCAGCACGGGTGAAAAAGTTTGCTGACCTGGTGATGATGCGATGCAAACCGCAATCACTGATGAACGAGGAGCGTCGGTTTCATCGTTGCCTGAGGAGGGATGACTAAAAAGCATCTCAGACCAGAGAGCAGCAGCAGGGATTTGGCTGGATTTTTTTACTCTTCTTGGCCTGTTTCTGGATGTGTGTCAGGTGAAAGTCTCATCTGGGGATTTTGTTCCCAAAAGATGTTTTGAGTGGCTTTTGAGAGGGAATGTCATGCAGACATGATTTTGGATGTACAAAAATGGACCAACATCTTCAAGCTAGAAATGGGTGAGATTTGTTTATCTGAAATGACTCGAATTTTGATTGAATTTCCATATTCCGAAATCCCTCCCAAGTTACTTCATCCAAAGCTACAAACTAATGGAAAGAACTGGATGTAGGAAAGGGAAGAAATAACCACAAATGAAAAGAAAGCATTTGTGACTGGAGACGTTGGAAAATGAACACCAGAGTAAAATTCAACAATATCAGCTCTCATCCTTCACTTCCTGTGAGTCATCCAATGTTATCTCAACTTCAACAAGTTCTACAAACAAATTAAGGGTTCAATCCTGGTCAATAGATATACCACTCATCACTGATTAGCCAATCAGGGTAAAGATCCTACCAGCCACAACCAATCAGATGCCGTCTTACAAGCCCCATCCAGTGAGTAATCTTCTGGCCAATTGGAGCATAGCTGGTATGCTGCATGACCAATAACATTATGTGTTTTATGTGGGTGTGGAGCTCATTAGCATAATGTGACCTTCTGAGGGTTGGTTTTCCAAGAAATGATAAATGGTATAGGAACTTGGCCAACCATATGCACCATATACTCTGGATTATTTAATCAGGCCTTGTGGAGCATAAACTATGAATGGTTTGAATTTATTTGGGTAATCTAAAAGTGATGAAATTATTGGCAAAAAAGACAATGTGGAATTCTCAGATGACTGGATAAATGGGAAACTTTCCTCTGTAATTTCATTTACCTGTTCATCAATTTGTAAAAGCCACAGTTCTTGAAGCAGGTGTAGAGATTGTGGAAGAGGAATGAAATACATGTATAAAACTGACAAAATAAAACCAGACTTTCAAAGTATTACAGTCTTTCCACAGAGCAACCATCATTGTCTTGCTCCGTTTCACCCACAACACAGAGCATTACACTCTGAATGCCCAGAGTAGAGTCACCAACCTATCTCAAGTGATGCATTATTAAATAACTCATGTGCAAGTTGTGAACACCTCAAACCAACCAAGTTTTATCTTTGTGTATCAACAACAGACAGGAAACACCGTGCACTCATTGGACATTACTGATGAATACTAGAACAGCAAGTTTCCACTGATAAGAATGACAAGAATCAACAGCGTGGTCAATGACAATTCCCCGCTCTGTAATTCTTTGTTTCACCTTACACCCCTCCAGAAGAGCTTCTCGGAATGAGACCACTGACTCACCCTGAACATGCCAGACATATTGTGTGATTGATGGCTGCAGCTTAAACCTGTGAATGTAGATTTAAGTTGAATAGAGACAAAGGTTGTTTCAATTGAGACAGGAGGCAAAGCCAAGAGTTCGTTCAACCTGGGAAAACCTTCTGAGTCTGTTAACAAGTTTCTTTCAAAAATCAAGTCCCTTTTCTTCATACCTTGTTAATAATTCTTTGACACCCAGTTAAAAGAAAACTCAGTCCAAGGCTGCAGAGTTTCTCTGCTGCAAGAGTTGGAACATGTAGGACTTGATTTTCTCCCTTGAAACCATGGGTGGTGGGGGGAGGGGGTGGCCACTGATGTGGTGACAGTGGTCCAGTGATGGCCCAGTACCTGAGCCCCACAGTACAGGAGGTCTGTGGTCCCTATTTACAATGCAGGGGAGCTCAGGCTAAATAAAGACTCACCAGACAAGACAGAAGTAAGAAAGGGCTTGGATGTAGGGATTAGCTGTCTTCCCCACACAGTGAAAATGATCAATCAGACAACAGTCCAGGACCCCAGTAATGTGATTGAATAGAATGGCTCACAGGTGTGTAGGGGAGAGAGTTTGGTTTCTCAGAAATGCACTCTCCAGAGAGCTGTTATAATTGTGCTAGAGGACAATGCTCTAGGCAGATTAAGCCAACCAGCCGACAGCCACTTGTTCTGCAAAGCTTTTCTCAGAAATGCCTCTACTTGATGGCTCATCAATTACTGATTATGCAATTCTGTCTGAACAAATTATCTTCCAGTGATCTAATTTTCCCTGTTTAACTTTCAAAGGATATGTTTTCAATATTTCAAAGTGGCATGAGTTTAAACTGAAGTGATTTTGGTCTTTTATGTTTATCTTATTTGAAAGTGGGTACAGAGGACAACACTTCATGAATCAACCAGTGAGTGGTTGATGAGTTTGTCTTTGAATTGTATCTCTTTCACATTAAATTCAAATCTCATTAGTGTCGCCCATAAATCTACGACATTTTAAATAGATGTTGATTTCATTCTTTTTGTTCTATATGCGAGTCTTTCAGCCCCCCCCCCACATAAAGTGTTCTTTTGGTTGTCTTTCTCCCAAGTGTTCTAAATTTTTCATGTTTCTCCCCTCCTTTTTTATCTGCCTAGGACATCGGCCAAAGCTTGAGGAACCTCGCGTGCACCAGTCTCTCCCAAACCCCGGCCTGCCATTCCCTAATCGCATTGGGGAGCTGACGGGTTTCTCGCCCGCCAAGACCCAGCCTATGCCTCAGCCCCCAGTGCGCAGCATCCGACCTCAGGTCCTCAACACTACCAACAACTATCTGGCCGTTACGCAAGGTTTGTACTCAATTTCTGCCAGATTTTTATCTTGGAGTGAAATGAAATGGATTAAAGTGGAAGTTCAGCCTATAATTGTTGGAAAAACCAGGGTGGTATTCGCCCAACTCGGTGACTATTTCAGATACTGCTAGCAAAATGCTTGATATACACGTTGCTCAGTTGGTACCCCATCAGAGTGGTAATCCAAAGATTGAAGGTTGAAATGTTACTCTAGTCAATGTTCTTCGTTAGACTGGGGAGAAAATATTGTGAGGTTTAAAAGCACACATTTCATTTTCATTTCGTAGCAGTTAAGAAAAGCTGTACTGTACAGTACACTGACTTCTTTGAATGTGTACGCAACTGAATACATGCTTTTCCCCTGGCTATTGCTTATGCTATATCTATGCAATGTAAATGGTGCATGCCTTGCATAAACATCTGAGAAATTTAATACACACAATAAGATAAAAAACATGCGAATTGTGAAAATGCACATCTTGAAGTGACATGCCAATGTTAGATCAGAGCTTTAAAATGAAACTGTTCCTTTGAGGGGGATCTACAGAAAGAAAGATCAATGACACTTGGGGAACTCCATATTTGGTTGCTTCTCCAACTTGCAAATTGGTGTTTAACTTTGCCCTGTGAATGCTGTGGGTTGGTGAATGAAGTTTCATAACATAAGCCCCATGGGTGTTGGTCTACTTTTGGACTGGAATTTCACAGAAAGTGCAACTTTCCACCTTCAACTGGACCACTGTTAACGGATTAGAAAAGAAACACCGAATACACCTGTAGATTGCAAAACTTTGTCAATATGGCAGGATTTGGAATGAACCATGTCTTAGGGAAACTGTCAATAAAAAATACCTTACAGGGATTGAGTTAAAGCTTCAAGTCCATTCCAATCGATGGTGCTCATGTACATCCGTCATTTTATCTTTGTTTTGCAAAGATTTCAAAATGAAAAAGGAAATGTGGGCAGGAAACGACTGTGTGAATTTCTAAGCATTTGAACCGGAACCAATGCATCAGTTTGTACCAACTACACACGTACATTTCCAGAGCCTGAGATGGAGGTCTGGGTCACATGAAGTCATGTCTTTATTGAAATCTCTTCACTGGGAGATAGCGGGGAAACCCAGGATCTCCTTCCTAACACACACTGGCACTGCACCCAGGAAAAGTCCAAATATTGATGACGAAAAGCATTGACATGTACTCCAGTTTTGGTGGGTTTCCTCTAAATTATGACGGATCTTTGGTACTTGTACCAACTACTGACTGACTGATGCTGGCAATATCCATGACAATGCAATATGTTCAAACTATTAGCACATACTGTGACTTTCACATTAAAAACAAATGGGCCAGTGTGCTACGGGAAATGAGTTATTAAAGTTTACAACATTCACGGACGAACTGGAAATTATCTTTTTTATTTAGAAAGACTCCTCGGCTTAAATAAGGCCCCAAGGGGGTCATTCATTTAAGCCTTACCATAGATGTCTTCTCTGGAAAAATAATGAGTATCATGAAAGAGTTTGTGGTGAACTATTGTGGTATTTAACAGCAGTGATGGCAGTTCAATTGCCCAGTTTGTTGAAATTGTGTGACGGATTGTTACAGTTGAACTCTGAGACTGAAGCTGGTCTGTGAATTTCATTGGGGCCACTCAAGTTTAGCAAAAGCTCATCTGTATGCCTCCACATTCCCAAAACCATTCAACAAATGAAAGTAATTCAACACTTCAAGGCAAAGTTTCTGAGTACGCTAAAAATAAGAGTACCAAAGAATCCCCTGACATTGAAATGTATTAAGGATGGAAAGGACAGATAAACAAGAAGCATATCTATGCACTGTCTTCATCAAGTTTGCTTCCAAACAAGCAACAAACTACACACCCAGATATCAGAGAGAGAAGACAATTGGATTAACAAAAACCTATTCGGAACCCCTTCCATATAAATCCTTTCAAAACCCCACAAAACAAAATTGCTCAACAAGTAATTAAGACAACAGGAAATTGACACACTAAGCCACCTGCTAAGTCTTCTATTATTGAAGGCTGCCTGCCCAGGCCTTGATGCCATCTGACAAACAAGGCTATGGGATATCCTACTTCCTGGAGTCATGAATATCTGTCAAAGTAATCAGCTCCTCCCAACATATGATATAGCAGAAGAGAAAAAAAAACACTTCCTAGAAATGTTTTTTAATGATTATGCAATTAAAAACAACTTGAATTGAACATGCTTTAGATTTTACAAACCTGTACAACAAAATCTTTCCCACATGTAAGATAATAAAAAATGTCCGAACAAAATGTCCCCAGTGTGATTTTGAATATTTGGAAAATACAGTCCAATACTGCAAATGTAATTCTACGGAGGATTATTTGTCAATGGTAATACAAACAAATCCATTAACTCCCTTCTGGTTAGATTAATATACCGGTGAATAAACAGCTACACCGCGCAGTACAACCAGCAATAAAAGTCTATTTTGGGATTGCCTGCTTCAGATGTCAGATCGTAATCGGAATAACAAATTTGTGAATGAATAGCACGCGTGTACAGCAAAGCAAGGCTTGTGGTTTCCTTGCAAGCAAGCTAACAGGATCAATAAACACACATACTACGACGTAAATGTCCGATATCAGTTAGGAAATGAATTGCCAGTGATGGACTCGTATTTGAGGTGAAGCATTTGTGTGTCTGCATAATAATCCTTCACTTAGTTAATTTTATTCACTTAGGTGCAGTGTCAGATGACCTATCCATATTTCTGACACAGGGAACCCCTGGAGTTTAGAATTAACCCCAAAGTAAAGATAGTCCTGTTCCTTTCAAATGTTCCATTTTCAAGTAACAATAGATACAGGATTGAGTATTCTCTATTTTACATTTCATTCTTATAAACTGTACTTATGTACATGTACTACTTCAGATTAAAATAATACACATTTTTTGGGGGGGGGATATTATTAGCATAAGGTCAAAGTACTACGTAAGGCTGAGGTTCACCAAACTTTGATTGGTTCAAACATAGGCATTGTGGCAATGGCTCAATCCTCCTAGTTTCATGAACTCGGTTTGTTGTTCAGATTTTCTACACCTGAAATATTTCCATCCAGTCTTTCAAATCTTATTTTTGAGTAAGGAAATGAATGTCCCTCAAAGAGGGAGATGTACTTTTGTGAGTTCAAGTGGAGGACAGACATAATGCTCTAGTGAAGGAACTTAATTGCCTTCAGGGAATTCAGGCTGTCTGAAGAAAAACTGTATGATAAATCTCATTATTTCCGCATTTGACTGGCTGCATTTCAGAGTAATGCTACAATCTTACAACCGGCCAAGCAGTAGTTACTAGCCTCTTCTGCCCCCCCAAATGCTACTGTAGTATGCTTCGAAGGACCATTTCTGACACTAAAATTTATCCTGTGAGATGTTTCAGATTTTTGTCCGGTGTGTTGTTATAAATGAACTTGCCTTGGAGCAATTTACCATCATTGTCCAGGCTGAATTCTCCATTTCTAATCAACCTGACAGGCTGGAGCTCATTTCTGGACAATTCAAGGTCGGGTCAAATCCAACCTGGCCGGCCAGTCCAGTATCTTCTGAACTTGTGACCCTGGGAAAGACCAGAGATTGGCTTGAATGGACAGCCCCTCAGGACTGGGCAGTTGTTATGACCTGTCATCACCTCTATAAAAACACCCCTCAGTAATAACTGCCAGGGTTGGGACAAATGAACAGTGCTAATGTATGCAAAACAAAATGGAGAAAAAGCAATTTGGGACAGGATGCTCCGAGGGGAGAGACATATGGAGACATTACACTTGCTTTATTACCCTCTTTTCTGCAATTATTGTTTTACATTTGGATTGTTTTCACATACAGAATAACATCAAAGAAAAGACACTATATATAATCTTACTTGGGGGGGGTGGTAGTGTGGATGGGAAACACCTCTCTCTTCCTCCCCATTACACTGTCTGTTTCATATTAATTTCTTAGTTCTTAAGAGGTGTTTGATGTTGACAAGCCCCCCCCCTGGCATTCCACAGGGGTGGATGAGGCCAAGGTTATGCGACAATAACAAAAACTCAGCAAAGGGGTAGGCTAATTCAGGAAACGGCATATGATTGGCCATATTTGGGATTGCCGGATGTGAACTGGGAGATTTTTTTGATGGACAGGATTTAGCCGCGCCAAAATGTGCAGCACCACAACTAATTAGAGGTTGCGGTCACATTTGGACCCACTTTAAAATATTTCATTTCTTCTGAAAGTTGCATCGATTCCTGATTGATCATACTCTACAAAAAGAGAGGGCTGTGAGTCGTTCTGTGAGTCGTTCTTTGACAGAAAAGGAGATGTAAAACACCAACATCCGACACTCAGACACAAACTGTCAGGACGCTAAACCCCTGAACCTTAGCACTAGTCATACTCTATGTATGATGGGAAGACCAGTTCATTTATGACTTGAGTTTTATATACTTTTAACTACCTACAGAGCCAAAATTGAAGCGTGTTGCCTAAAGTTGACATGGACAGGTGAAACCTATTCAGAATGTCTTGTATAAATTTAATAATGAAAGTGGTTGCCAACTTGCCATGCACGTGCGACTTCTTTATACATGCACACGGTTGTTTATATTTCTTGGGCTTCAGCCAGAAGAGGGAAACTAAAGTTCAAACTTCACATTTTTGTCACCTGGTGCAGTGTCTTTAGTTCCAACTTCACCATTTTTGTCACCTGGTGCAGTGTCTTTAGACTGTTGTGCACCTGTGTGTTACGGTGAGTCAGTCATGCAGGACAACTACTGTTTTCTTTCTCTGTTTGAATACATATATATTGTCATGAGTGCAGACGGTCTCCAAGCAGTCATGCATCGGAGTCATCACAATGATTTCCCAAACTACAGACCAGCATCATTTCCACTTTTATCCAAAGACTGAAGCACGTGACCAGTGGATAATCCGAGTCTTTCCACTTTAGACAGAGAGAAAGAAAAGGAGAACAATGACCCATTGTTGTTGTTGTAAAATGAGAGGATATGTTGAAATCTGGTGCACGATCGTTCCGTGGTCAATCATGCACTGGTGACTCACTGGATTTTTTTTCCTCCACTGAGTTCATTATGTCATGCCATTCCGTTGAAATTCATGTCATAATTTCATTGGAATTACAGCAAGGTCAAGACAGCTTCTATGGTAAACTACTTGGCAGTTGCTGACATAAAGGTCACTCTCTCCTTAGTGGGTGGTCACATGATTACATTCCATTATTTCTAATACTGGCCTGAGTGGAGCCCATAAAACTACAATGTACAAAAAATGTCAGACACACGAATAAATAAACACAGTGCTGTAACCAGAGGGTTCAGAAGATTCAAAATAGTGTAAGAAATATCATAATTGCCGACAGTTAGTTTAAAAAAGCCTCATAAAAAATCTTCTTAGCAAGCAGTTTCTGTGTCCAACACGCGTAGTCCATGTTGTCTGTCTTTCATATACAGCTAGCTGCGGGTGCTGATGTAACCAGCCACACCAACTACACGAGCAAAGTGTAACAGCCACATGCATATTTGGCAGAGGCAAAAAACTTGGCACCGGGAGATCGAAAAGTTGGGCTTGCAAACATAGCCATTGTATGCAAAAATTCCAGTGGGCCAACTCCAGACTGCAATCTACCTTAAGCTCTCTTAAGTCACCTTTTCAGAGTGCCAAGATTTCTGGCAAACAACTAGTGCCTTTGCACAAAACTTAAAAAACAATTTCAATGTAAACAAAACCCCCAATCAGACTCAGATGCACACCCCCCCCAGATTGCCAGCTCCTTTGTATTTTAATGGCTGTCGGTGATTTCACAGTACAGTGGCAAAGGTTAGAGTCCATATTGGCACAGAGTTTAACCTTGATTTTGTTGTCACCTTGCTTAGAAAATGGAATTTCCCCCCTCTTTCGTTTTCAACCTGATACTGTGCCAAAGAGTAACCTTGGAGACCTTCACAATGTGTGTTGATTCTTGGAGGCTGTTGTGTTGCAAGAACTAGCTGAAATTGCACACAGGAGTCCGATCGATGCCAAATTTGGATATATTTCCCACTGAAGAAAAGAGCTAGCTACTCTTATTGTACAATTGGCTTTGAACAGATGACCAATGAGAGCTCAAAACTTGTATCAACACAACAAACATTGTGTTTTCCTTTCCAAAAAAATGTCAACAAGTTCTGTTGCCTTGCTTTCTTGTGTCTTGCTTCCTTATTTTACATAGTAAGTTTTAACTTAATTAAGCATCTTTTTTTATTATCTTTCTCAGATAATCAGCAGCAGCAACAGCAACAGCAAGATGTCGTCGCAATCAATCGACCCTCTTCCACCTCTTGGCCCTACTACCAAACTGCTGGGTTCTTCACCCCTCAACCCCAAGCCACCACGGCTATACCTGCCCTCAGTCCCACTCGGACGACAGCGGCTGACCTCAAGATGGAGACCATTGACAGCATGGGTCAACTCACCCCGCTGACATCGGTGACGAGCACGGAGAACTCGCTCACGCACATGCTGGCGGCCTCAGACCCCCGTTTGGCTAACCCCCGAGGGGCAGCTGACCCACGGTTCATCTATCCCAACAGCGTGACATCAGGCTTCCCCTCCTCGTCAGTTTTGTCCCCCAGCACTGATTCCAGTCGTTTTCTCCCCATGACACCAACCACTTTTACCCTCCCTCCTCCGGATCTCTTTGGGGGTGGTCCCCCCACCCCGGTCACATTGACATCCCCACCGTATCTGCCCAGTTCCCCACCCTACCAGCTGTACCCCCACCTGTACATGACGTCACCCACATCTCACCAGCCCCCACAAAACTTCTTCGAGAGCACGCCTCATGTGCTGCCTCCCAGCACCACACGCTCTGAGAGCAAATCGGAAGACATCAAGCCCAGAGACATCCCCTCCCAGACGATAGCCCACCACCCTGAGGGGCCTGACATGTCCACCCTCATGCCCTATGACCCCACACGGACTGATATTGCCCCTGGTAACATTGGCTCCCTTCAAGCAGCTTCTGGGATGCCTATCCCGTTGTCATTACACCACGCCCAAGACCCATCAGGGCTGCATCCTCTCCCAGTAGACGAAGATAGAAAAGAAGATGTTTGGAGACCGTACTGATTGCATCAATCAAACTGATCTTTCCTTAATGATTAAAATCCAAGGTAGCAACTGTGATATTTATATGAAGGTATCTATAAATCAGAAATAAGATGATACTCTATTTGAGATGTTGGCTTCAGATGACAAAGAGATAGATTTGCTTGTGGAATTCATCACCCCAAATCAACAGAGCTGCTCATAATAACTTCACCCCAAATCTAAGTTAAAAGTAAGTAACTACTTGACATGTTCATCACTGATAGCTGAGATATTCGTAAAGCATTGATCCCTGAACAGGTGCAAAGTTTTCTTCTGCTGGTAAATTCAACCAAATATTTATACAAAGAAAAAACCCACCAAAGCAACGGAGGTGCATCAAAACGAGTAATGAAAGTTGACACAAAGCCACATTCTGACTCTTCAAGACTGTAGTCAGAGTGAGAGTTCCGTGGGTGTCATTTTCTCCTTGTTCATGGAGAAGGAATGCTGTAGCCTATTTGTAGGCCAAAGTTTGTTTCTCTTTCTAAAAGTAGACATGACAACCTACTTACCTTGGAATGCAGTTTTAGTCTTGACTTTCTGTGTGTATAATGGCACAGCTCACAACTGGGTAATTATTTTAATTATGCAACGGCCATCTTGTTTCTTCCCAAGATAGTATCTGACTAAAAATGAACTCCTTGGGTAATTCCTCACAGCATTCGGTAGTACATGAAAAGGATAGTTGACCAGGATGGCTGTCACGATTACAATAGATTCTACAGGCTAATCTCTGCTCCCAAAACCATTAAGTAATCAATCAACATATCTTTACTAGTATTTAAAACTGCCTTGCCCATGATTTTGTTACCGTATTGTAAACCAGTAACTTTAATGCTACAATAGACTTAGATGGCGTTTACAAAGCTAGATGTAGACATACGGTAGATTGTAGATAAAAGAAATAATATATTCACTATTTATTAATATTTAATGGCAAAACAAATTTGAAATCTGTGTGGAATTTCCTGCTCGACATTCCAAAGAATTCATCAAAAGTGACCAAGAAGTGACTTTCAAGACTAAGTAGAATTAGTCCCTTTAAGTTCTCCCCTGATGGTTAGATTTACAAGTCATTTGTGGTTTCGGTATGTCACTTTAAGTTTACAGGGCAAGCTAGTTATAACAGTCCCGCGGTATAGTTTGGTTTCTGCAGTCATATTGGCTCTAAGATTCTTTGTTGATATTTATGACTGTTGTGATTTCTTTGAACCCTTGCGCACAAATAAATCGTGATCTGACCATTTTGTAATGTATGTAATAAATCATCTGCTATATAAGGTGTGTGGTTCACAACCATTGACAAATCGGCATATTTTAATTAAGAACGCAGTCTGCTTCCAAGAGATTTTCGGCTGATGGTTCAGAACCTGCAGAACTAAGCCACTGTTTCAATTTCAAAACAGGTTAAAATGTTAGTCAACAGGCAGTCAGAAACTTGATAGTTGTTGGGGAAAAAATGACAACAAGTGTTAAGAACAGTATTGTGCACAAGGGTGTCAAAGTATTAGCTGCTTTTGTTTTCTTATAATTGTTAATTGTTGTATCATAATTTAATTGTTGGAATACAGACTCCCCAAGGGAGTTTTGTTAATGGATGATTCAAGTTATTACAAAGTAAATATTTTTTAAGACAGAAGATGAAACAAAATGTAAAAAGAGAGAGAGAAATTTTTAGGTGTTAAGAAGATGAATCACAAAAAGTGAAGGTTACTTGAATCACGAGGCAGTAACAAAAGTGCATAATTGCTCCTACTCGAAAACCACCTTTTCAGAACAAAACTTGAGAACAAAGTTCCACATTTGTGAGGAAAATACACACTTTGTGGTAACCATTAGACACAAGTGTCGAGTGAAATATGCCTTAAACCCATCCTTTTTTTTAAATATGATAGACTGACTGAAAGATAAACAAAAACTTAAAAAAAACCCACTGTGTTCCTTGGGAATACTTATCAACTTAGCTCTTCACATTCAAACACTATCATCGGAAAAACAGAATGACAAACAGAAAGTTGATTTTACCAGTCTCTGTTTCATATTTCTTGGAATCTGTAAGGTAATAAATTAAGAAAATATTTATAGTGGTGGGTTTTGGAAACTAGATGTGTTTAGATTGCCTTGTATTGTACAGATATGTACATAAAAAAAACTTATTTAAAAAGATGTGATTCAAAATGAAATATTAGATTGACCAAGAATGCAAATGTGATACTTAAAGATTTCTCACGCTTTTATTTTCTACGTGCGTAATCAAGAAACTGTAAAAACGTCCATGTGTTTGTATTGATAGCAGCGCGAGTGTCAATGCGAAAGTGTGACTGAAAAAAAAAGGAAAATAAACAGAAAAGAGAGAAGGCAACTGTAATTTTGTATGTTTACCTTAAATCTAGATAAATGTAAATTAATTAGCTGATTTTTAAACCTGTTTGGAAGGTGTTGTGTGTTGTTCTGTATTTTTTTTTACTGTAATGGTAATAAAAACTTTCCAACAAATTGTTTTTCTTGTTATCAGAAGTGTTATCCCTCTTTCAGGAATGGTTTCCAAATGAGTGTTGTTAAGTTTCAGTGCTTTTGTGCTATTTGAAACAAGTTCTGTGATTGGATGATTAAGACTGAATAAATACCTTAAAATGTTACTGGATGAAAGGAGTCGTGCCAATTAAAGTCTCTCCCAGGCTGTGTATTCTTGAGTTTGAAAAACGAAGTTTCACAGTTTTCTTTGGAAGCTTTGGGTTGCCATGAATGTACAAGTTAGTGGCAGAACATTTTGCAGAGCTTTTGTTTGGTGAGGCTAGCTGGGTTATTTTCCAGGGATAAATTCCCAAATAATCGGTCAAGATTTGTTCAGTGTTAATTTTTTAGTTACAGGCATATGTCTATTCCAATACTGTACCACTACAATGAACAGAATCATTTCAGAAAACCTATAGTTTCTCAGTACAAATTTATGATACGAAGTTTGTAACTGAAGAGCGCAATATAGCTGGTTTCTGTGCTTGGTACAAAAGTCTATGTGGTTATTCAGTAGTACACAGGGAACTAGACTTCCAGCAACAGAAGAACGATGGCGAGAGATTTTAAAAAGGCAGAATGTTGACAAAGTAGCATTTTTGGAAAGGAGCATTTTTTGAAGGGGAGCAAAGTTTTCTGTTATTAAATTGCAATGCAATGTGGATCAATGCATCTTGGACGAAAGTTATACAGGCATTTCTTGAGACCACTGTTATTGTGAATAAGTGTTACAACCTCCCTCTGACATGGGTGTTTGTTTCTTTTCTACTATGTTGGTGAATGTCACAACATAACAACTGAGCATGCTCAAGTGAAATCGCAGGCATGCAAATGAAGCATGTATATAGCAATGCCTACTGGTCCATTTCCCATCATGCACTGCAAGCTTCTAAAGGTGGATGATGCCGACAACTAAAATCAATCAGAAGCAATCCCCAGAATAAGATTGCCCTAAGAATATGTCAGGCATGACTTTCGTCAACCTTTATATAGTGGTAAGGAGATATTCTTTACAGTAAAGTATGATCTGTGTAGTACATTTTTGACTCTGGACTTGAGCTGACAGACTTAGCCATGTCTTACGCTGTACATAGTTTCTAGGACTATTTCATTCTTGGCTGATTATTACTCAAGTTTCATCTGTATCCCAGGGAAGTTTTCTCAGGATACAAATGGCTAATGACCGATTTGGAACATTTCTGATTTGGAATCAGTTCAGAAATTCAGGCGAACGAAATTCCAGAAAGCAACATTCTACCTTTAACTTGGGAAGTTCCAATTTGGCCATGGTATGTTCTGACTTTGAGATGCTTATCTACAGGAGGTGATGTAGTTGATTGCTCAATCTCAGTGCCATGTAAATGTGTTACTCTTACCTTATTGTGATAGAAGTAAAAGTGTTTTCTACAAAACGTTTTCCTTTTTTGATGTTGCACAGAAGTAGAAAGGCTTTGGGGTCTATTTGGGTTGTTTTTGGAAAGATAGGATATTCAACAAATATTTGGTATTGCTGAAGTTTGGTTTAAGTTTGAGAGGAGGTTGAAGAGAGACAAGATTGGTGCTTTTTCAGCGACAATAAATGGTCCCTAATCGATACAAAGGGACAAGATCACCATCAGGACTTAAGTCAACATTTGAAGGCTTTGATGGATGAGTTGAGAGATGATTTACATCTTGGCAGTATGACTAGAAACGTGAAGCTACATCAGTGCAAGGTTTACCTGTGAGGTTTATATAGCTTCATATACATTTAGTAAGCATGGAATGTTATCTAAGCCAAAGAGACCATAGTGCTTCCGAGTTCACATGTGTACATGTATATAGAAACTATAGGATTGTATAAATGTTCCCTAAGCGGTGATGCGAATCAAAAGGTTTTTAATTTTCAAAGAAATGTTCTCTGGGGTCTGTTTGTATGGGACTGTGTGACAGTCAAAGAATGTCGGTCTGTTTGCTTGTGTGTTTGACAGGAAATATAATAAACTACCAGGAAGAAATGAGAAGGAAGATTGGACTTTTTATTTTGTTGGGTACTGCCCATAAGTTTGTATTTTCTGTTTTGCCTTCTGCCTCCCTGCCTGATAATATATATGTTTTTAAAAGATGTTCAGTTTAAGGTCCAAAGTATTTTAGGTCTGCAAAAAACGTCTTATAATCCCCCAAAGCAACATGAAGAAAACTTTTATGGTAACTAATTTAATGTCCTGGAGAAATGTAGGTGTAAAATATTGCAGAAATCAGATTTTATGATTGAAAATTGAAATTGGATAATTGTAGCCTTAAAACACGACTAGAAAATTTATTCCAAAATGCAAGAAGCTAAAAAGAAAAAAACAATTACAATGATTACAATGCCAGTACACAATGTTTGAGGTGAGGCACATGACCTAAGTTCACAACTGACGTAGACAAAAGTATGTAACGTCAAAATGAGCAAAGTTATGTACTTTTGTGACAACTTACCCAAACAAGGCCAACTTTGAAAGGAGCAAACAGCATATTGCAACACAGACGTGTAATTGTATCACTCAGGACTCAGCAATCTTCTCAAGTTACCAAGTGCGTGCTTTTTTTCCCCCACACATCCTTCTAAATATATGCCAATTCGCTCAGCAGGTGCCCCGAGGTGTACCACTACAGGTTACGCAATCACCAGCCAAAAATGAAACTACAAAACGAGAACATCCAATGTTATCCTTATATGTACACAAAGACTTTCTTGCTTCCCTCAGCTCGAACAGAGAACACAAAGGCAGCCTTGGACCAAATGCTGAATGATTAAACCTAAAAATGCAGGTGCAAGATCAAATATGGAAGTTAGTTCTGATGCATTCTTTCCACAGAAGGAAAGTATATTCACTGTCACAGGTGAATAAGAAGTAAGCTATTTTGTGTTTCTAAGTTTTCAACAAGAATGAGGGACTTTGTGCAATAACATTCTGTTTATGCCCAGCAAAGTATTTGAAAGGGGTTTGGTTTTTTAACTTTAGGGGGAAAAAAGGAAGACAGAAACAAAAACATTAATTGAAACAAATACAATTTATAAAGACACTCTGTAAAGATCTTGAAAATAGATCACTTCTTCAAACAAATCAAACACCACAAATAATGACAAATGCTAACAAAAAGAATAAAATAAAAACTGATGGTACAAATTCTACCCACAGTATTCATTGAAAGGTTGTCCTAGAAATTCTAAAGAGGGCGGTGTTTGAATTTACAGCAAGTTGAAAGTGACCATGTAATGTTTGATCTGGTATTGGTTCTTAAAGGCAATAATCCTAAGAGAAGAAATCAAGATAGGCATCTTATGTAGCAAAACATTGGATAACTGTTACAAAAGGGTTGAAGCACAGTTTCTAAACTATGACGTAGCATAACCATCATTCATAAATACCTCAGTTTCCCTGTTAACGTGTAACTTGACTGTGTATTAACATTTGATAATGCCCGCTGCGTTAATCATGCGCTGGCACCTGGATATGAAAGAGTTTAATTGCTTTTGATTAGTCAAGAGTCTGTGTGCACGCAGCTGGCCACACGCACGCCAAGACCACATAAGGTTGTTCTTTGGGACAACTATATAGGAACATACCATAAAATGGACAGGGGTGTTTTAGAAAATGAAAGTGAAATTCTAGAATTCTAAAACTGTTGGGAAGGCATCATATATTGACTTCTTTTGACTCTCTGACTAAAAAGGGGTTTATGAATGGGAATAACCACGTGCTTGGCCATTAACATTTAAGACCGGTCAAGCGCATATTTACTCCCTTATCAATAACCAAAAAGGAGAAAATTACTGAAGGTGCAAAACCCCATATGTTCACTGACAATGGAATTAGGTTTGTGGCCGTGTCTACAAATTGTTAGAGTCAACAAGGTAATAAAGCAGTTTATTTACAGTACATGAAGCGAATTGCTCTCTTGTAAATATCACGTAGATTATGTCAAATAAGCAATATATAATTATCACATGTCTAGAACATTTCAAATAATGCCAAATGGTCTATCATTTGGAAATGTGCTCATTTACTTAGGGCCCAATTTCAGACCGGATGGAATTTCCCGTACCATACCACAGACAGGATTATAGAGCTGAAAGTTTCGACACTGTGCATGAGCAGTAGAGGGCACTCTCAGACCTCAGAGGGCACTCTCGTGGCAGCTTGGGCTGTGTTTCAGTGAATCATGTGGCTGGGGCTGGGAGTTATACATGAGTCTATGCAAAAAGCTAGCCAGTGGCACCAGCCACAGTAAAGAGATCTGTGATGTCTTGGAGTGTGCTGTTAGTTTTCACCAGAATGAGTACAAAACCAATGGGGTTTTGACATCAAGAGGGCTGGAACAGAGTTTAAGTACGAGTGGGATCAATAACATTTAACTTTTACCTGTTTAGTTTAAATAGTTTTGACTGTGTTTGAATTACTTGGCCCACTGTCTCATCTAGCCACTTGTCCTGAGGTCCTAAGAGGACTAGCCAAAAATAGTTCGGCAGGTAGCTTTTGTTCCTTCAAAATTTACAAGCCCCCATGTTTTACATAAGTCTTTAACACTGCTAAACAGGTCTTCACAATCCTTCCAAATTATTGGATGGATTGGAAATATGGCTTAAGATAGCACCAAGGGACGTCAGTTTGAAAAGTTTTCCTAGAAGAGGACAAATTTTTAAGCTTTGCTGGGAAGGAGCACTCAGATATATTTCAATCCTAGATGAAACCCTGACTTGGTCATGGCTAGAGAGAAAATATTCGCCTATGAATCTATTGACAGCGGCTGAAGCCACCATTGATGTATGAGTTTCTATAAAGCTTGGTTTCCATATGGTTGTTTGTAACGTGGACGGTCTGCAAGACCTCAAGATGCAGACAGTCGCGGAAGAGACGTGGCGCAGCATCATTTCATCCACAGAATTAAATAAAATGGCGCCTGAAACTAGGACAATTTCCCCCAAAATGCCCTTTTTAGGAGGTAGCGTGGCCTCTTGAAACCAAACTGATACTCCAGTTTGATTTAATCTGTTAATGCTTAGCTATTTTGTTGACGATTGGGGCTAAATCTGCTCGGAATCAGGAGAAAATGGACAAAGTGAATGGTACTAAGCACGAGAAACATAGTTCTACGCCGGTCATGTCAGCGTGCGTGTTTGTATAGGCCTACTCAGCTACTCAACGTAGACAAAGTTGGTAAAGTTGAACCGGGCTCTTAAGCCACTGGATTCAGACATAGCCTATGTGATTCCACGACTGAGGAGGCATTGATGTGAAAAGACAGAAACTCTTGCTTACTGAATGAAATCAACAACCTGCCTGATGTCTTCAGTGTCGGTACAGCAGTATCCTCCTCGCGCAGGTCTTGCCGACAAACTGAGCGTACTCCTTCACCTCTTCTTCATCCCCAGTGTTGGGTGCAAAGCGCCGATAGTCAGAGTACCTCATGCTCATCTGCCTGTATAGTACCCGGACTTCTTGTAAGTTGACCGGTGTGTCGGCTACGCATGAAAATAGAAACTAATGGTGTCAATACGTCCATAGAAGTTCATTACAAACAACATGCATCGGTTGATAGTGTTGTTGATATAGGAATACACAGAGCACTCACCACAAGAAATGTTACTGTTAAGAGAAATGAGGGACGATAAACCCGTGGGCTAAACACACGTAAGCCTGCCCTGCTGAGTTTCACTTTTTGTTTTTGTTTGAGTTCATTGTTAATGTTCCAATGACAAATATGAACCTACCATCCTGGGATTACAGGGCCTACCTGTGTCAGTTTCGTCTAGTCTGGAGTACTTGCTGACATCTAGTTTAGGACGGCATTGCTCAATGGGGCACCAGGTGTAGGCCTCGGGACACAGAAGAAATGATGGATGGTACTGACCCTGTTATTACAAATAAAATCAAAGAAATCAAGCATCGTTCCCTCCTGTTCTGGCTAATCCACGGCAACATGACAAGGTGATGTCTGTCAAGGGTATGGGGGGGGGGGGAATTCAACGGGGGCCATGACCGCCCAGAGAAGAAGCCCTCAATTTCCCCCCCCCCAAAAAAAAGATTCCCTTTCCTTGCAACAGTGTGTACAAAGCCCCTAAAAGAAGCTTCATCCCTCAGAAAGGCCATAAAAATCACTTCAAAAATTTCCAAATTAATTGCCTCCAAAAAAGTTTGGCCACCCCCTCTGACAATTTAGTGCTGGATTAACCTTTGTTGTCAATGCAATCCCTCAAAGCCTGTATTTGCAGTAGGCCTGTGCCGGGTACCCGCCTGTCCATATCAAAACCCAGTTCCATCTTTTTTTGGGCCAGGTACCCATGAAAAAATTCCACATATAAAATGTACATGAACTTTAATAGCGAAAGGCAGAATTTCTGCAAAATCACCATGCGACTAAAGCACCTGGTACTGCCGTCGTAACTCCGGTCCAGAGATCAACGGAGCTACTTTTGTTACAAATTAAAGCTAACACTTCGTTGAATAAAAAGGTGGGGATGATTCCTTTCTAATGTTCAGAACGATGTACTGCTTCCTAAGTGCGAAAAAAGAGCCCTGTTTTGGGCATATAGTCCACCAGGATTGCACATAATGCCATTCGTTAAGTGTGCTTTATAGTTTAAGGGTATGTGGTATTGACATAAAATGAGTAACCAGTTTCAAAAATACCTGTAAATGCACATCCCTATTCACAAGTACTGTGAACTACTAACTTGTATTGTAGCTTAGGCTCACCGTCTCCCAAACAGCTGACGGTGCTAGACTAACAAATGACAACATTTGAATGACTGTTTTGGTGTCCGTATTTTTCATACCTTGTACCTCATCTTGACACAGGAGTGGATATAGAACCCCATGTAATAGCGGTTTATCTTGGGAGCCTCTTGATGTAAAAGTCTTGTAAACTCAATCTCTCTGCCAATAAGGTAAGGGTAAACACAGAAACCTGTTAAGCAAATACCAAATTTACTTGGCAAAAGCAGGTTACCAGGTAAATGGCCACATGCTCTGTACATGTTTTGACTGGTTCCTGGCAGGCTTTTGCTTAGCACACAAATTTGCTTAGCAGATCTTCCTAAACTAGGAAACACCTTAAGAGAGATTTTTTTAGAGTAGGCAGGTGGGAAAAATCATGAGTTTACTCGGCTGGAAATCGAACCTACAATCTTCTACTGTTTAGTGGAGATACACATGGCTGAAGTTGGGTGTAACACACACACACATATTGGAAGTGGCTACTGCCATGAACTTTCATAAGCACACATGTTGATTTCAACCATAGCCATGACATCAATGGGAAGTGGCTGCAGCTACAAGCTTCTGTACACACACATGTTGGTTTTAACCATAGCCACAACATTTTGGGGAAGTGACTTCAGCCACTAGCTTCTGTAAGTGCATATTTCTAGTCGTAGTCAGAACTTTTGCAAGTGGCTTCACTAACCTGAGAGCAGAGTATGTACCCAGAGAGAGGAAGCTATAATCTGGGTCATAATAGAAGTACACAGACGACACACAGTTAGGGAGAATGTCCAAAACACCAACTGCGATGATTTTGCCATCCAGAAGAAAATGCTCATGGAAGGAACCATAGCCACACTCCGGTGCACCCGGCAAATTCTCCTCTTGAAGAGGTGAATCAACGAGGAATCTTTTGAACTGGAGACAAAACGACACATTGTCTATTCATGTAAAATCTTCACAAACTAAACAACTGCTGTCGAAGACTTTGTCTCTTGTATTTGGGAGTTAGATTGAGAAGTGTGATTAACCACAGCTGAACTAACATCAATGATGGCTATTTGACTGCTCACGTATTTGGAATCAATGCAGCAAAGAAGATTGTGGTGTAGTTGGTTACCAGCAGTAATATATACTGCTAAGCACAGCGGGGGACCTGGGTTTTGTAATAAAGCCTGACCATACTTTGATTAGAGCTTCAATACCTTAAAGAATCTATCTGATAAATTGAAGATGTTATCTTTCTTGTTAGGGTTGGGGGTGTGTGGGAGGAAGGTATGAAAACATTTGTCCAAACTTACATCCTCTTCCTGGCATTCGTCGTCAGGTTCCTTGTGTATTGTGGTTTGATACTTGACAAAAATTTCATGGGACTCCTGAAATGTCTCCTTGAATTGTCTGCTCTCTGGACTTGACCGGACCAATTTGACCTTGTGCCCAGCACCAACGACGAACAAGGTGTAACGGATGACAAACACCGACACAGAAGGGGCAAGACATTGACATACACAAGACAGACATGGTGGCACACCAAAATAACAGAAATAGACACATTTATATTCAGAAACGACGGGGAAGGAGAAGAATGGAAGAGAAATACAAGAAGCCAAGGTCAAGATTTGGTCAATCACCTGTCACGACTGTGGGCAGGATTAATTAACAGGCTTTTAGGTTTTAGAAAGCTGGCCACTTTTAGCCACAACAGGAACGCAATGTGGAGGTGGTCAGGACAAGTTTACATTTCGACAGGTAAAATTTTGCTGAGATGCAAGATGAGAGGTCTTACACGTCAAAACCAAACAAAAATTAGAAATCGACAAGTTTTGGTTTTAAGTATTTACTGTTTCCGCATCATCAAATTCAAGCAAGTTTTTTTTTCTCTGTTGACAATCCAATAAAAAATTTAGCAAGAGTGTAGTGCTCCTTTTATTTCAGAGTGATGTGACTTATGACCTTGACTTATCTTTCCCTTTCCCAAACACAGACTAAAATGGAAGGGAGAACACAGAACAGGAAGGAAATGCGCAGAAACGCAGATCAAGGGAGTATGTCCAACCACCTTGGCACATTGCGTTACCTGTTTCTGTGAGGGTTTGCTTGGAGGGTCTTTGTGGATGGTGACTTGGTATCGGTGATACAAGGCATAGCTTTCGTTGAAATTTTTCTCAAACTCAGGATTCATGGGACTTGACCTCACATATCTCACCTAGTCAATCATGGAAAACAAAGAACCAAAACTGCTAACTAAACTAATCATTTACGGTAAAGGGGACTGTATGCCAAATGCAGAATATAATCATTTACTCTTAATATAGCAGCATTCCAAACCAGAAAACCTGCCTCTTTGACAAAGTTGACTCAATCGATACCCTTCAAGTTCTTCCTCGCAAAAAGAGTTGAGCCAATCATAAACCTGTCTCCCGATACCAAACCAAGATGGCAATTGCCCTGTAAGGATATCCTGTTCAACCATGTCAAAAGCGGCAATCAATCAAGCATAATGAATAGTAGAGCATTATGTTGTTTATCAAGGGCACACACTACATCACTATGGACTCTTAAAAGGGCAGTTTCAATGCTGTGACCCACAAGGTAGGCTGACTAAGATTTACTGTACAAAGCAACTTCAAGAACAACTTCAAGATGATAGCTTACCTCAAGTTTATGCTTGGAGCCATGCGATGCTTTCTCAACCTCTTGGGTCATTGCCTCTAGAGACTTGGGTTCATTCTGCGGCTTTTTGTCAGCTGACAGCACGTCGGCCCCAGACTTGGCAAGGCGTTCTAGTCTGCGTTGCCGTCTAATCTCCCTGGCTTTCCTGCATGGTGGCTTAGAAGGGTCAGGACCAAGACCTGTGAAGCGAGACCAGTACAACAGAAATGAAACTCTATTTCTTGGGAGAGATACTATGAAATTCAAGTGATATCCACAATGTGATGTACTCTACCCCAATGTTTATCTTTAATCTCTTTCATATGAAACATGTGGGAACATATCAGTTCCTCCTATATGGAATGTCAGTCCACTGCAGGCTGCCTCTGAGCTGATGGAGGTATCACTTTAAGTGAGGCAAATAGGGGTAAAGTGGATTGCTCAAGAACACAGCATGTGGCCACCAATAAAATAACTTTTTTTTCAATATTTCTCCTTTCCAGTGATGCAAATAGTTTCATTCTTCATACCTGGTGTGGGATGTTTTCTTGTCGATGGTTCATTTGCCACCCCTGTAGAATTAGAATTCACTTCTTGAATGAGTTCTTGGCCCTCGTCCTCATTGTCACCCGCAGTTCCACAACCTCCCGAGTCTGAATTCTGTCCACTCTTGGAGGTTTCTGCCGATGTGTTTGGCTTCACATCTGCCGATGCATTTGGCTTCACATTGGTCAAGTCTGTTCTGATGATTCCTGCAGCTTCAGTCATTTTTTTCCTCACTTCTCGTTCTTGAGCCGGATGCTCTGATGTTCCTAGACAGGTATCACCATCTTCGTCCTTTTCGGTGTCTTCCACCGATTTGGGGTTGCAACTTGGTCTTTCCTCTTTGCTAAGGAACCTGCCATGAGTTCCAAATCAAGAAAAAAAGTAATATTTACAACCAAAAATGGTGGGTCAACGTCTAAAAACAGTGAAATAATTAGTTTTCAGAATTAAGAGTTTTTAAAGATTCTTTTGGTAGAAAGTGTCTTATCAATGAAATTATGCTAAAAGATGTGAATTCAAACATCTGTACTATAACAGGAAAATAGATCCTAAACACGAGTCTCAATTGAAAAGATCTGGCTTAATATTCTCAGGAGCAATATAATAACAAAAGTGCATCGTTCTCATTTTTTGGATAAACTGAGTCCGTCGGCCTGTCCAATACCTTGTCATTTTCTTGATAACTTTCTTCTGAGACTTGCTGGGTTTAAACTCCAGTGCATTACATCTGATGGTGTAGCAGGGGCAACACATCTTGTCCATCAATGGTTTGTACAGATAACAACCGCTCCTTTAAGTTTAAGGGTCAGAGACAATTAAATGTCAGTTAGCATTAATAATTTTTGTGAAGTGTTTTGGCAGTTTCTCCCGTAATTTAGTAAAGGTACAAGAACCTTTTCTGACAATACATTATGTTGTAGTCACTACATTGTGAGATCATTTGTGACTGGCAATCCTCTAGAGTGACCTGATGGTGTGAATGGCGTCTTCAAATTTTGTATTCCTACATGCTGGCCTATGCGCATCATAACTCATATAACATGTAGTCCTACAGAAAGATTTCCTTCATTAATTCTCAGAATTTTTATTTCATCATTGGCAAAATAAATGACTTATTATGAATTTCGATACAACAGAAATTCACAGTCAAACAGGCTATCTTGGCTTACGTGAGTGAATGACAGTAATTCACAGGACCTACTGCTTATTTCAGTACAAATCTATCCTAATAATTCAATTTGGTTATGATATGGCTTTACCTTCGCCAACCTCTGTCCAGGAGATCTTGGTAATCCTGTGAGCTAAGAGAATGCGCCCACATGCCTGAAAATACAATAGAAAGGTCATCATGTCAGATAAGGTCATTGCTGCAGCCCAATGATTCTGAAATCTGAATCACTGAACACCTAAAGTCATGAGACCTGTATGTAGTAATATAAACACACTGTACAGTGGCGTATGCATGGACAATTTTTTCCAATGTTTCTCATTTCCTTCTTGCTTTTAAAAATAATCATTGACACAATTATCAACACAATTAGCTCGCTAATTATTTGTGATACACATGACTATAAAATGATTTAGCACCGTGTCCACATAACTGAAATAAGTTCCGTGTGAAAAAGTTTTTTCTCGTCAATTTTATTATTTTTTCACCAGTTGTGACAGTGCTAGCCTTAAAAATGTAGGTGTTAATCTTATTGTTGATTGATCAAAAATAAACACTGCAAATATTTTTCTACTATCACCCAGGCCTTATGTCAAAGAGGAAGAATCATATGAAGGTCATGACTGGCCAAAATTTACTTTTGGAGTCGCCAACTGATCAAGTCACCGCGATGACCGCAGATAGTGAGATACATCATTAAGCCTACATCATGCTCGGTGCGCGTGCGGCGCTCAACGAACGACCACAACTTAAAACAGTATTTGTCCATGCACAAAACCTCAGTGACACTCCCAAAAAGACACACATTTCAAGTTCATGATAATTTTCCAAACTTTTTGAAACCTACCATGGGAATAATTGGAATTTGAACCGCCGCAGTATCCACATCTGTAACCTCCATGTTCGTGCATGTACTCGACTATCGTGTTCGCCATCTTGTGTGCAGAAAAAATGTATTAAGGGGAAATACCCCACCGGTCCCTACCCCACCCAGCTCATTAATTATGATGTCATGGTTGCTAACCATAATGGTGGGGTGGAGCTGAAGCAATTTTAACGGTCTTGCATAGATTGTTTTAAACGTCATGGCTTGGATTTTCACGTTCAGCTGTTCATATTTAATGATAATGTAAGACATTGTAATGCGTGTTCGAACGTTCAACTGAAGAGCACTTATTATTCACGTATGTGTAAAAATAAAAGGAATGAGAACTACAGTTTTGACAGAAAGAATATTTCAGTAAGAACTATGGTGAAAGAATAACTTAGTTTATTTGCCACTCATTCCATCATCCAAAAACTATTCCATTCAATTTTTTTCCTTTCAAAAGGGAGTAATGGATATTTTTTTTTAATTTTTAATTTTTATTGTTTTCCCACCACAAGCACTTGTGGAGTCACCTTTAAGGCAGACCTCCCATAACGGGATGAATATTGTACAGTTCAAATTTTTCTTATTGTGGCTGGGTCCAAATTACTTTGCAGCGGCTTCATCTTACACACGACTCTACGGGAAGTGAACTGCAGCCACAGTCACAGACTCGTGTAATTTCAAGCCACAGCTAAGCAATTCAGACATGGTCTAATCGAGCTGGTAAAGCTGTGCAAGACTTTAAACCCATACGTTCTGAGAGTATCAATTCCACAACATGGCGGCCATCAGTGCGTTGCAAGCGTACGGAAGCAGTGACGAAAGTGACAATGGCAGCGAAAAAGAAGAATTTAATGAAGATGCCACTGCACATTTGAAGCCATTAGAGAAAGGGGATAATGTCCGTACGCTGCAGTCGAGATTCCAACTTAACGCGGCGCCCGAAGTCGAGAGTAAGGTAACGGCTAAGTTGAATTAATATTGAAACGCCACATATTTCCGACATAGGCTTACTTCGTTGTTTTTGAACTTTTAAAATAAATGATAGAATAACCTAATACAAAATTTTAAGGAAACAGTTCCATATAAGGACAACACTAATCTTCCCTCAAAATGTTATAGAAGCCGTCAGAAAGTCTAATAACATGTCCCAATAAGTGAAATTTAGCTGAGAAAATTCTGATGCATTTATTTACTTAAGTCAGAAAACAATCAGTTTTCTAGACAAGTCTCATAGGTATGTGCACTGAGGCATCAAGGGAAAAAGTGTTGCATCCTGACGCCACTTTTGACAACAAATTTTGAACCCCCAACAGGTTTAAAAAGGGGTTTCTCTCCTTGCCAATCTCTCACTCTGTCCTCACCGATATCTAGGCTGTACATGTATGTATTGCTACAATGATGAACTAGTCAGAAATTGCACGTTGTAGTCGATGATCCTTGCTGGGGCTCGAACCTGGGTCGGCAACTTAAGGAAGAAACACGGACGATTAATAAATGCAGGCTCTTATCTGCTCAATCACGAGCGCTTGTTGTGTTTGGTAGATATATATTTTAAGGCACCCATTGAATGAAGAAGAGGTCAAAAAGAGGTCACAATGAATAAATCATTATTCATAGGTATTTTACATAATTTATGCTGAGGTTTGAATAATTAGGCCTAATCCTGTCCAATCCTAGTAGTAGAATCGTCCGAACATATTAATTACCACTGTTTAGCACTTCTGTGCATGTTTCCACCTTCATCGATCATGTCAGGTGAGGGCCTTCTATTTGTCATGGCGATGGACGTCAAGTGCTAAAATTGCACAAAGTCAGCCTGATTTCTGCCTACAAATCTATCTGAAATACTTTGTTCACATATTTCTTACAGTGTCCACATGAAACAAGGTAATGAGGAACAAGGTTAGTACAAAAACCAAAAAAAATCTGTTTCGAAAGTAGCATCAGGTTGCAACTTTTTGCCGCATCAAGTGTTGTCAGTATATGGAACTCTTTCCAATTTTAATCTTTATTGTATAAATACTTTTCAGGGTTCCATTTAGCTACTCATTCCTTCAAGAAGAAATGTTAGCTAGCTAGCGAGATGCTTGTGTCATGCTGAACACAATTTGTTTCTCTCAGCTCAATTGCAGAATACCCCCCACCCCGCATGTTCAACATCCTAGCCAGGTACAGCCCAAAGTGTCACACTCTCCTCAAGGGATTTTCACCTTGTACCCACAATCCCACATAACCAGTCATTCCAGGGGTCGTTGTTTAGAGTCGTGGGGTATTCTGCAATTACGCCTTTCTCTCCAGTTATTTAGGATTATAGAAAAAGTTTGAAAATATTTGCCATTATGGCTAGCCTAGTGGTTACTCGACTGGGCGCAGGAATACAGCAGTTTTACAGTAAGAGTTGTCCCACTTGTTCACTTGTTGTTAGCACTGGTTTGTTCAAACTAATCGATGATCAAGTGGTAGAGAGCCTCGCATACCTGTGTCTAAAATGTGAGAGCTCAAACTTGCTGAACTTACCATTTCCTGTAGTGTTGTGAGCTTTGTTGTTTGCTTTCAGAGAAAAGTAATATTGACAGAAATAAATGTAAAGGTACCCAATATTCTTTTTTTTATACAGGAAGCCATTGGGACGATACAGCCTCTAGATCCATCAACCAAGGAATTAACATTTAATCCACAGTTTGACCAGCTCTTCACACCAACGGTATATATTTTTTAAAGTTATTCCTTCAAAGTTTGGAGAATTCTTTTTCTTTTATAGTGATGCATATAGTGTGCCATTTGAGAAGTTGAAAAAACTCTTTTACTCTCTTCAAAGCACTGAGAAAACTGCACATAAGTTTTTGTTCATGTGTTGTAAGGTGGGACCAGCGAACCCTTTCAAAACTCAACAGCAAGCTGCAAAGAAGAACATGCTGTCTGGCTATGTAGAAGATGCTCACTTCAGTGACTTCCAGTTTGAGAATCAGAGGAGGACATTCAACAGCTACGGTAAGATAGAAAACAGACAGTAATTCTGCAGAAAGCTTTTAGTTTCAACTAAGATGTTACTCAAGAAAGAAAAGGCTGTCTGGGTGATGCATTAGTATGTTCTATGCCTTTTACTTTAGACGAGCTTCATGAACAGTGACTGCAACAGCTTGTCAGGGCTTTTTTAGAATATTACTGTACACAGTGAGATTAGTTTGTGTTGTTTTTTCAAGGTTTTGCAGTTGATCCTAGTGTCAGAGAGACGGCAGAGACCAAATTTATCGGTGCAGCTGACTCCGAAGGTACAGCTAGATAGGTTTATCTGTTTTTATTTTGTGTGCATGTTTGACTTTATAAGTATAGAACACCAGAGGAATTTGGGCGTCTTGCCGAAATAAAAAATAATTTAACCATTGAGAATTGAATTAGGAGAAAACCTCCAGGATTTCTTATATCTTGTCCAAATCCAAAATTGAAGAAGATTGGTTAAAAGAATTATTAAAATGCCAGTTGCCACTTTTTTACTCGTACAAGTTTTCTTATATCAACATTTTGACCATATAGCATAATACGGACATTAAATCTTGAAATTGTGTTTTAGGTGAAATCAGCATACCCCGTGTTGTAATTCAGTATATTTTTGTTTCATTTTCCAGCCAAGACAGTGTTTGAAAAGACAAAAGTTCGGCCAGGCGACAAGAGAAAAAGAGTGCGCAAGAATGACCCGTCAGAAATTGATGATTTTGAAGGACCATGGGGCAAATATGTTGACGAGGCAACAGTTTCCAAACCCTCTGAAGTAAAAATCTTTCCTTTGTTTTCAAAGATATCACTGTCATTCATATGTCAATAGGATTTAAGCAAAAACAAGCTGTTGGTTCTGTGGTATTGACCATCCTGAAGTAAAATTATTTGAAAATTGTGCACAGTGTTGAAATTGTTGCTTCATATGTCGCCTATGCAAACATTAACATTTGCATCAATTTGCTGTTAGTTTAGAAATTGTCATGGAGTGTATATTGTCTTTGGCTTTTGTCTGGTTGTTAAAAGAGGTAAATATGTCACATCCTTGTGATCACAAAAACCATTGATTCCTTTTGTTTCCAGGAAGAGCAAGTTGAATTGGACGAGATCCTTGCCAAGCGGAACAAGAAGGGAAAACAGGTTGACGAAAAGCCAGCTGAAGAGAAGACAACACTTCACCGTAAGTTATTAATTAAAAACTAAAATTTCTAAAGGCTTTATTTTTACTGAAGTACTTCAATCTGCAATTCAATTGGTAACAAACTTGTTTCCCCTTTCATCCCCTCAACTCTCAACATAGTCAAAGATATGTACGACTACTTGGGCCGTTCCTACCTACATGTCCCTCAGGACTTGGACGTGGACCTACGCACCACAGAGCCACCCGAGAAATGCTACCTCCCCAAAAAGCTTATCCACACCTGGGCGGGGCACACAAAGGGTGTTGCTGCCATCAGGTTATTCCCAAACTCGGGTCACCTGCTGTTGTCATGTGGTATGGATAGCAAAATAAAGGTCAGTTGAGTGAAGACTAGAATAATTCTCAGAGCCAGTGGTGCAAGGTAAATAGTGAATGCTTACTTTTCAAGTTTGCACTGGGAGCGTTTGCCTTATTCTCGCATCTTTGCAAGGTCTTGCGCAGATAAGCCTGGATTACCAAGCACTGTGTATGATTTAAAACTTTAAATTTGGATCTTGGCAAATAGTGACTATCTCAAACTAATCCTCCACCTTGAATTTGTGGTCCGGAACAGCATTTGCTGTGTTACTTTGGTTTTGCATTTTTGTTCAGTTGTGGGATGTCTACCATGAAAGGAAACTCATCCGAACGTTCAGTGGTCACAAGCAAGCTGTCCGAGATGCCTGCTTCAGTAACGATGGCACTAAGTTCATCAGTGCTTCCTATGATCGCTACCTGAAAGTGTGGGACACGGAAACAGGTACCGATGACAAACCAATTGCAGCATTTATGATTGAACAGTGGTAGCTACTGAGGCTGTTTGGGTTCGGGCCCTGTGTCTGTTCCATTATTTACAGATTCAACATAATGTGTGTCCAGAATTTTCAAATACATGTACACAACAGCGCCCATTGAACTCATGTACGGAGCAGCA